TTTCTTTTTTTCCACTCAAACCCTTCACTCGCATAAATTTCAGTTGCTCTGATGATGAAAAAATATAACAACAAACCCATGTTTGAGAATAACTTTATTTCCATGGTAAGACCAATATGGTTAGCATCATACATTAGAAATGTGTAATATCATTTCAAGTACTACATAGCTTCTTCTTGTATTTATCTTGTAAATATACTTCCAATATTGTATTATTCATAACTGCATTTTGTACCATTTTGGAGCTGCGCGAAGTTTCCTTCTTTTCCTGAAAAAGCGTTCAGGCACGTGGGGGCATAGAGCTCACTCAAATATATGTTGTTTATCAGTTGACCATAACTATCATCAGGAAATGGAACGAAATTTGGATTGTCGCTCAACTTCGGTGGTGACCTTCGTGAAAGATTAACAAATTAATACTTGTTAGAATCTGTTCTGACTGCTTGTACTATAATTCAACAATTTGAACTTTTGAAAAAGTGATAATGTATGCTAATTCACAATTGTAATTTACAACATAATTGATCGTGCCTGTAAAAATGGCATGCATTTCATGTAAACTTACCCGTTTATACGTAATACATATTATTAACGTGAGCAGGTCGTTGGGTGACATTGTGCGCCGAATCCGCGATGGGAGCCCGAACGAGAAACAACGAGTTTGATGCGGTGTCTTTATTGAATATTCCCGCTGATTGTAGCGTTGTACTCCGTTGCTATAGCATTTTAATTACATGTTCGATTTTCATATGTCGGTTAAACGAAATTTCGCGTTAACATTTTTTTCTGGTATACATATTATTGGTGGCATATTTTTCAACTGCGTCCCACTTGCTGCACTTTTATCAGAAAAATGTTGCTTGATTATGATATCTGCGCAGTGTAATGAACTAAAGGAGACAGTAGTTTCAAAAGTTAAGCGTACATTATTGAATTTTCATGAAGTCATGCTGGTATATTTCGGTCAGTTTATTGAAACGCCTTAATACCCAGCACACAAAGGTGGCGCCACTTCGAAAAATGGGTGTGCTGTATAATTGCTCAGTTAGGCGTCCGAGGATGATATGGCGATCGTGTGAGACGAAGGCTCAAGAGCAATCGTGTGGTTAACTGGAGAGAACTTGAGAGAATCGGATAAAATGAAGGTATTCTGTCGAAGTCCTATGTTCCACTTGGAACACAAGGGAATAATAATAATGGGCGTGATCATTTTGAAAGGAAAGATATAGAAGGATGGTTGGCCTACAACAAAGTTGCCATACAACATGGACAAGCTTCTGGCAGCTCAGTTTGGTCTCTCCTCTTAACTGAGTCGCTTTCAGTCACATTGACTTCATCCGACATCGCTGAATGATTACTTGAAATTGAATGGATTGCCTTAGTTTTGTGGTACTTTCTCCTGAATATAGTCTTTCGAAAAGTAGGTTCGTCATAATGTATAACATTCTTATGTGTACTTTGCGATGAATCAGCGCCAGTTTAAGAAGCACTGAAGGCATAAGTCATCAAACTTCATTTTATCTCTCTCAGTTCTTTGAACTGTGAGCGTTTAGGATCAACAGGCTTGGCTAGAATCCTGTGACATGTGAATTTTAACTTCTATCGACTTGCAACACAGTACCACAACCAACCGATACCAGTGATGATGTTATAACTCTCATCGGCTCCAGAACTTCTCACAAGGTTTCATTCTCTCCTTACCTAATCTTCTACACGTTAACCTACATATATTTCGTCGATTCCCATTTACATTCCACTAAGGGGCTTACCTGACATATGATGTCACCTGAAGGTCTCACTAGCATGTATGTCCCAGTCGAAAAAGTTCCTGGTTGCTTATCCCTTCTAGTTATCTGCTCTTCAGTATAGAGTGAAGGTAGGTGTTTACGTGATTTAAATATTGGAAATACTACCTTTATTAAAGGCTCTGATTGAATACTTCGCATTATTGAAACAGCAATTCAAACGAATTAACTTCATGTCATTTAGTCGATGATGGCTAGCACTAGAATCGTGGACGCACGCTCCATCTTATTCAGTACTCATTGACTGGATCACCTTGAATCCCAAATGAACGATGATGTTTTCACAGAGATCAGAACCAAGCAATGAAAGTTTCGAACGTCAAAGCGTTATCCACAGCGCCAGTAGAGCGGAGTATAGCTTATCATATGTTCAAATTGTTATTCTGAATTTTATTAGGTCGAAATTACCCAGTCTTTTTCTACATATTAGCCTGTAGTACTAACACTTCAACTCATCTATAAATGAAGTAGCTTTAACTTTGTAGGAATATCTGGTGAACTTGAACTCCATTTTTGTACTAACTCAGAACCCGACCGAAAGCCGCTAACTTGACGTGGTGGTCGGGCTTGCATAACGCAATGACCCAACGAGCTACACTGGCTGGAAATTATGTTCCTGTAGGTACTACCATGCGAGAAAGGTTGTTTGGATAGCGGTTAGACAAAAGCAGTTACCCAATCCAATGCCATGACTCAAACAAAAAACACAAAATATCATGCCGGATCGGTCGGAGCCCGGATTAAGTCGACAGCAGGACTTCCCCCGAGGTAGCCTGGCACAACATACAGTTAGATGTAGACACACATGTGAAAGCTGTCAATAAGCTAAAACTCCACCGCCTCATCCGAACTGACTGACGCAAGAAGACTGATTCCAGCGAGCTCCGATTATGATGAGGAGCAAAAGGTACGTAAACGAAAACTAAAAAAAGTCCTCGCAAGGACCGTGAACAGTGGTGGGTGACTAAAGCGAAAGAGATGGGAAGGGCATCGGCGATTGGTAACACCAAACAAATATTTAGGCTTATCAGGGAAACAGGTGGTAGAAGGCAAATGATAAGTGAAACAATCTCGGAGAAAAATGGCACCATAATTAGCTCCCAGGATAGACGTCTGGAGCGCTGGAAAGAACACTATGAGGAGCAGTTTAATTGGCCTACAACCACACTTAGCCTGCCGAACATCCAACACCTCCCTGAATGGGATATAGACACAGGTCCTCCGTCCTTAACTGGGGTTACTAAAGCTGCCACTAATCTGAAGTAAGGCAAAGCAGCGGGACCTGATGGAACGACTCCAAAAGTATTTAAATACGGCGTTAACTGAGGTAATGGCAGCGTATGGGAATCAGAGGACGTCCCTTCGGGCTGGTGTACGATATACGAAAAGGAAGACAAGTCTTCCTGTGATAATCTCAGGGGGGATTAGCTTGACTAATATAGTATCTAAACTCCTAGGCTCAATAATCATGCCTAGACTTAGTAGTGCTCTGGAGGAACAAACGCGAGAAAACCAGGCAGGTGTTAGGCCAGGTAGAGGGTGTATTGATCATATCTTCACCCTTCTACAGATTCTGGAACACAACATTGGCATACTTACTGGCGTCCAACAATCGTTATATTTCTTGACCTAAAGGCGGAATTCGATTCTGTCGACCGGGAGGTTCTCTGGCGATGCTTGGCTGTAAAGGGAATGCCAAGAAAATACATTGCACTGATTAAGGCACTAAACTCGTATTCATGCAGCCAGGTGAGGGCTTATGGCGAGTTGTCATCTGAAGTGGTGACGACTAGTGACGTCCGTCAAGGATGCCCATTATCCCCATTCCTATTCAATTTCATCATAGACGTACTAATGGACTTAACCCTAACTCACTTGAGAGACTCAGGGATTGACTTGCTACCAGGGAATAATCTCGTTGACATAGAATATGTAGATGATATAGTCCTTTTAGGCGAGGACGCTGACAAAATTTAGAGTCTTCTGAACACCTTGAGCAGCAATTTTCGAATGATTGGCATGCGATTCACTCCCGCCAAATGCAAGATGATGTTATAGGATTGGACTACACCGACTCCTAGATTAGAAATAGAAAGTGAAGTGGTAGAACACGTTGACCGCTTCAATTACTTGGAAAGTACCATCAGCCCCAACGGGTTGATCTCCGACGAAATCTCAGCACGAATACAGAGGGCTAGTTTCGCATACGCCAGTTTACGCCGTCTCTGGCGTAGACGCGATATCCGACTATCGACCAAAGGGCGTGTGTACTGCTCAACAGTCCGCTCCGTCCTGCTTTATGGCTGTGAGACCTGGCCATTGAGAGCAGAAGACATGAAAAGATTACCTGTCTTTGATCATAGGTGTCTGCGTTCTATCTCCCGCGTGAAGTGGTATAATAAGGTGAGCAATATTGAGGTTAGGTGCCGAGTGCTAGGTAAGGCGGGGAAATCAATCGACGAGACTGTGAAATTACATCGACTGAGATGGTTAGGACATGTGTTACGTATGCCTAGTCATCGCCTTCCTCGACCGACGAGCAATGTTAGCTGACATAGGATCAGGCTGGAAAAGAGCTAGCGGCGGTCAAACGAAAACATGGCAACAGTCAATGAAATCTACAACAGTTAGTTTTAGCCACATAGGAAGGTATGGATTTCCTGGTTGGAGTCCTCGAGACGGTAGAAACCAATGGCTGGAAACAATTGGTGATATGGCTCAAAATCGTTCTCAATGGTTGGCGCAGATGCATCCACTCCTTGTGACTTATGATTTCCGATGAAACTGTTTTGTTCTTCGTTATTACTATTCCTTTGTCTACCACCTCTGTTTACTATCTCTAATATGCATTTCTTCTCTTGCTTTGTGTGCTACAAGGAGGGAGTGTGGCGACTTGAACTGCCGCACATATGTGCAAAGTTCTATGTCGAAAACAGACAGACAGACAGACTAACTGAGAAATGTAATCCCTCATTTTGTGGCGAGAGCTGTCTGCTAGCTAATATTGATAGACAGCAATTTACGTCAATGCTTACCTCCAAAATCGCGGTCATGAGAAAAACCGTGAGGAACTCAACAACCAACCACAGCACACTTAACGTGTAAAAACACGATTCGTAGATATATGGCTTAAATTTCTGAGAAACGGTCACAAGTAGTGCAGAATAACTTTCAGCGAGACAATAACCAGTCAGCAAATCCAATAGTGTCTATTTATAAAATCGAAAAACTTTAATATCAAACTGCAGAAAACAAAATACATTCACAAATAGGAATACTGAAGTGTATGTTTGAAGAATTCTAGGTGCATAAATCAGTATATGTATATGTGTGTAATTACAATTTAATCAGTATTCATGAGTAAATTATATCTGATTAAGGAGTATTAATTCTCTAGTTGAATCTATAATCTTCGTTTCATCAACTGCTCACGACGAATCTAAAACAAACAACCAAAAGAAACCAAACAAAAGACATTCAATGAACACATTACAACGATAAAAGAAGAAAGAAAAAAATCGGATTACAATTGACTGACTGACTAATTTCAACATTGAAATTTGCGCCGGTGTGCAGCAGTTCAAGTCGCCACACTTCATGTAGCACACAAAGCAAGAGAAGAAATGCATAATAAAGACAGTAGACAGGGATATGAGACAAAAAGAATAGTAATATCGAAGAACAATATAATTTCATTTGATATTATAAGTCATAAGGAGTGGATGCATCTGCATCAGCCATTGAGAACGATGATTTTTAGCCATATCACCGATTGTATCCAGCCGCCACTGGTGTTTACCGTCCGGAGGACCACAACCAGGAAGTCTACACCTCCCTACATGAATGGCTTAAACTAACTATTGTGGATTTCATTGACTGTTGAGGCCATGTTTTGGTTAGACCACCACTGGCTCTTTTCCCACCTGATCCCATATCAGCTAAGATTGCCCGTCGGTCGAGGAAGGCGACGGCTTACAACAAGTAAGACCTGTAGATAACTCTTATGAAGAAATAAAACGTTGGGTTTGTAATGGAGACGCCGAACGGGTGGGAAAGACATGCAGATTACGAATATCTCTAGACTACTCCATCATTGTATAAAACAGCTTATTTATTTCCTCTCCCCCAGCCCAACCTGCTCTACTCAAAGGAAAACACACACACGCAATGATATGAGATGGAGGGTATATTCATCAGTTCCAGCCACAGTATATTTACAAAAAGGAATCATAACCAGTGATGTAGGCGTGAGACATACCCCCGTAAAAGGTTGTATGCCTGGCCAATGGTGTATACCTGAGAGAAGATAAGCATAAAAGGAGAATCCATTATTTATCTGTCTAAATAGTAATTTATGTTGAAATTCAAGTACCTGATAACACTAATGAAAATAAAACAGGTAGTTCAGCAAAGAGGCGTTTTTTTGGAGAAATCATTTACCTCTTTAGTTGTACAGTCGCATTTATATTATTATTACTATCATTATTGTTTCCTTTAGTTCCTAGAGTAATATACGGCTTCAGCCGTGCGTCTCCATTGCGTTCGGTTCTCTGCTAGAGTCTTCACCTGGCTCTAAGTCTCCCCACACATTTTCATCTCCTCTTCACATGACCTTCTCCAAGTCACCCTCACACACACGACCAACTCGCCGCTTCCCTTTCGGGTTCCACTCGACCAATGGCTTGTCTAGTGATGTCACTCACTTGATGGTTTCCTCAGATATGGCCAGCCAATCCATCTCCATTTCTTCCTGCCTATTTGTTTTACAACCGGTTCCTGCTGAGTTGGTTCGCTCATTGCCAGAGATCTCTGTTGCTGATCTTTTCTGGCCAGCCATCTGATCTTGAGTATTGAGCGAAGACAACTGTTAATGAAGGTCTATAGTTTGTTTGAGATGCTCTTTATGACGCGCAGTGCAAGTCTCTGATCCATCCGTATAGTAGCACTGACTGACTTCACATTGGAGTTGAAAATCCGGATGTTATTTTCCATGCTGAGTGCTGTTGATCTCCACACAGACTTGAGAGTAGTGAAAACTTGTCTTGCTTTTCCGATTCTTGCTTTGACATCCTCGTCAGTTCCGTCGGCCTATAGTTGAAACGATGCTTCCCAGGTAGGTAGGTAGGTGAAGGAAGTTGTTTCTTTCAGGTTCCTTCCAATTATGCTGATCGTTGTCTGTTGTTTTTGTTGTTGTTGCCCAGGAATCTTCATCATCTACCTTTGTTTCCTCTATGTTCACGTGAAGGAAGTCCTATCTTCACTGCATGCTTCTTCTGCCAACTTGTTGCTTTTCGCTTGCATATCTTCCAGTTTGTGGGAAATCAGACATATATCATCGGCGAAGTCCAGACCCTCCAAGTTGGTTTTTGTATGAGTCCATTTTATGCCTGTTTCCACATTGCCCACTGTTTGTCGCATTATCCAATCTACTGCAATCAAGAAATTAATCATTGGCGATAGTAGGCAGCCAGCTTGTCTTACTCCTGTCCTCACTTCGAAGGATTCCGTAGGTTTCCCGTTGTGGATTACTTGGCGGTATGCAGCATTGTCGTACAGCTGTTGGATGAGATGTATAATTGTCGGTGGCACCCAGTAGTAACGAAGTAGTTGCCTAAGCACTGACTGACTATTATATTTGGAAAATCACAATGAACGATAAGTCCACTTGTATATATGCACAATGGTTAGGACTCTCGCCGAGCATGCACATGGTCCGGGGTTCGATCCCCTGCCGGCGCACACCCGATATCTATGGTCGGCCTGAATTTGGGCTACCGATGTCCATGCTGAAAATTCCATACTTGTACTGAAAATACGGTGTGGAATCAAGCTGTAAATCAAAAATAAAATAAAATGAGACAGTGTATAAAAAAGAAACAAACTTACACGGTCGTATTCTTTAACACGTGAACGATTGACCAATGCGCGTTTATGACGATCTGAAGTACAAAGTGCTGAATTGTTTTCTTTACGAAGTTTTGAAGGTAAATGTGAACTGGAAGTGTTGCTTTGATCAACTTTTACACAATCCAAATTATCTGCATGTTTGACATTATCTGAGCGGTTGTCAGTTACCTTCTTATCCTGAGAAAAATGAATGCTCACCTCAGGAGAAACTTTCACCTCCGATGACGATGATGATGATGATTGAACACTGAAAATCGGAAAGGGATTAACTATTTTTTAATGTAAAAAATATTTTGAAAGAAAAATTGTCAGCGTGTTCAGTGAATCAAGCAAAATAACTACGCGAAAAACTTCAACCAAAAAAATCAACACTGATATTAAGTATGGTCGATAACGTTTTGCGAAAACATGGACCTCAACAATTGTCATTCTATTTAGAACGGAGACGTCAGGTGATATCACAAGAGTACTCAATAAGCTCGACATTAGAGTTTTCTTAGAAACATCAGACACACAAAGTGCGAAACAACCTTGTCCATATAAAAGATCAAACCCCTAAAGATTCTCTGTCTAATTGTATGTATGTGGGCATAACCGCGGCACTAGCTATCCAAAAGCTCAAACCCACGCTTTATGTCCAAAAGAAATACATCAAACCCTTGTCCCTGCCATAGCCATCATAAACAGGTGATTCTTCCAATAGTGACTATCCCATTGCCTTTCTTACCCAAACTTCCTGTTTATTCATCTTAAGTTTTTCTTAATCCCTGTCTACACTATCATATTTTCATATCCGAGCTTCCTGTCTATTTTGTCAATTTATTATTTCGACATATTTAATCCCTGATTGCATAAACAATTATTCGTCACATTGGTTATAATCCCACTAGATTTTTTCCATCCAAACATCCTGTCTATTTTTGTTATTTCTACATTTCTAACCCCTAAATGCACAATCGATGTCAATCTTCTCAGTAATTATGATGCTACTTTGTTTGAGTTGTACCCGTCCATCCCTATTTTATCATGTCATTTTAATTCCTAATTGTAATTCTATTAATTTGACCCTTGACCGGAAATTATTCTGGAACTTTCCCACCCATTTATCATAAATACACGAATGTACAGCCTGGTGGACGGTGACTTCGTCGAAAAGAAAATTTTCTTCGCTGCAACTGTCTTTTTAATAATTCCTATGATCCAGTGTGTATATTCCGTAAAATAAAATGCTTGGGGAATGTGATGTACGATATACATCGAACAAACATCACCAGAGAGAAATCAAGGTAATCAGAAGAAATGACACACCGTAGAGCATCTGTGTTCAACCACCGAGTAATAAATCCAGTTGAACTAGAAAAGCTTGAAAAGTCACCAGCCGTAGGCCGTCTACACGCCACGCTATAGAATCAATCAGGTTACAAAATTGATTTTGACAATATTGAAATCATCATCCAGAAAAAGCATTTCAGAAATCACAAAGAACGTCTAATATCATCAGAAACACTTCACATCAAGTGGAATCCAAATTGTCTGAAATGTATAGGAATGATATAGTAAAAAAGAATTTGACCTGGTTACAACACCCTACCCCACTCTCCATGAAATGACAAAATCAACACGAATGTGATAAGCAATTTCATTATGTAAGCACACTCTGCTTTTATAATTTTACACAATTATCAAATCCAACAGTAGTCTACACCTGGTTTTGTTATCTTTACCTATTGGCCAACTTGACAACGGAAAAATGTCGCCATGCTGAGGAACGATGATTAAGTTGTTATATATAAGCTGGGTGGATTTTGTAAATTCTGGTTTAATAATACTATTTTGATAAAGCTATTTAAAAGCAGCATTAAATAGCGAAACGTCAGTAAGACCAGCAGCAATATCGTTTTGTTTTTCATTCATTCATTGGGAAATACAAAAAACAATCTTTACTATAATGAATATCACATATACCTAATGCCTAAATTTTTTCAAACTGTTAAAATTGAACTTGGTTTGGACATATATTACTTAAATACTACTGATTCACTAATTTGAGTAGTTGGGTACCACTCACGACAAATAGAATTATACGCCAGTCAGATCATCGAAGTGAATTAAACACCTGACAGCCGTTTCACTCGTCGAAGATCAGGTCAATTTCAAGTTATAGGATGACAGAATCGACAGATATTAATGCTCCACAAATTGAGTTAAAATATGAAAAGGAGAAAGACAACAAACACCTTATCATTTCTTGATGTCGTACTGCTAACAAGAAGACAAGATAGCAGTATTCAGAGGGATATTTTCCAACAGAAGTCATAGGGTGGGTAGCCAATACCCCCATTTCAAGGCATTTTGCTCCTCCTCTGTGTCTCTGTGTCTGTTTTCGACATAGAACTTTGCACTGATGTGCGGCAGTTCAAGTCGCCACACTCCCTCCATGTAGCACACAAAGCAAGAGAAGAAAGTAGAAGAAATGCATATTACAGATAGTAAACAGAGGTGTGAGACAAAGGAATAGTAATAACGAAGAACAAAACAGTTTCATTGGAAATCATAAGTCACAAGGAGTGGATGCATCTGCTCCAGCCATTGAGAATGAGGATTTTGAGCCATGTCACCAATTGTTTCCAACCATTGGTTTTTATCATCCCGAGGACCCCAACCAGTCAGGAAGTCTACACCTTCCTACGTGGCTTAGACTAACTGTTGTAGATTTCATTGACTGGTGCCATGTTTTCGTTTGACCGCCACTAGCTCTTTTCTAGCCTGACCCTATATCAGCTAACATGGCCCATTGTCGAGAAAGCCGATGACTAGGCATACGTAGCACATGTCCTAACCATCTCAGTCGATGTAATTTCACAGTCTCGTCAACTGATTTCCCCGCCTTACCTAGCACTAGACACCTAACCTCAATATTGCTCACCTTATTATACCACTTCACGCGGGAGATAGAAAGCAGACACCTATGATCGTTGCTCCTCTTGCATACGCAAACGAAATCTTATCAGTACCTTGATGTTTTGTGCTAGAAAAATCTGAACAACCGACACTCTCTAGACGATGAAATAAGGAAAATAGAAAACTTTTTGCACGAGAACGGATACCTCGAGAACAGATAGAAAGAATTCCTGAAAGCTGTACAGAAGAAATGTATATATACATGACTTCACCATTTAAAGGAGACGCAGAAAACAGGTAAAACATTCTTTGCCCTAAACATTGTGTTTAAAATTCGCCACTCGTTATATTATTCCAACACAGGTGAAAGATAAGCTACCGAATCTGGTCACTTCAATGTGCATTTATACAACTAACTGTTCATGTGGAGACAGTTGCCAAGCAATGATACTAGCTAACTGCTCAGAATGAAGTAGATGCTTCCGAGATTTGAACCTATACCATGACCCTCCCCCCATCCAGACACACAACACGCTCAACACTAATTCCATCAAAACATCACCTCATCAACGTCACTCACATGTGTCAATCGTTTCAGGTGAGGCTGTGTGAAACCAATCAATGATGATTGTCAACCACACAACCAACATTCCACTATGAGTCAGTGGCACAGCGGTAGAATGCTAGCCAAACACGCCTTATATGGTTCGGTGTTCCATCCCTAGCCACCAACGCATTCCTTTCCTCACTAAGTCAGTTATAAGACTAGTAAGGAGGGAAGGTTTGGCATGAGGCAGGCTAGCAACCGCATCCCGTAAACATAAATACCACTGCTACGGAAACTCCAAAGCTCTAGCTTGAACCCCCCTATGTTCCACTGGGAACTTAAAGGAGATGAAAGCATGGGCAGACGTGGAGCCAGGTGAAAACTCTAGCAGAGAACCGAACGCAATGGAGACGTTTGACTGAAGCCCTATGTTCCTCTAGGAATTAAAGGAAATAATAATAAATAATAGGGCAAAGTTAAACTTTCGACACCAGTAACAACCAATCAGCAAACGACCTTGAACGGACCAATCACATGAAAGAGGCGTTTATGATAAGCGGAAACGTATATTTATAAAAAAATGCATTAAAAAATGATAAAACGGTTACAGTGGGTATTTTTCCCGAAAATGGGAGAGAAACACTTCCCAATTCAGCATGGGACTGTCAATAGAGAAGTCGCACCACATTCTATACATATATTCATCTAAATGACCATAAATGAGATCCTTTTGAGATCCATTTATAGCCCTTATTCTATTTTTCAATCGACCATAAAATCCTTCAATGGAATTTATATGAGTCCCTGTAACTGGATCCACGAAATCACTGGAGTGGTTCACTCTGTGATGAATGTATCCCAGGGATGACAATGAATCATAGCCTTTCCACTCGTCGGTATGTACAATTGATCCCGGTTTCACAAGTCGCTTTATAATAGGTACCAGAGTAGTCGCATTCCTGTCTGCTATTCCTTCAACAAATCCTTTTCGGAGGGACGTGTCGTATAAACCTATGACCCAAATGTTGTTCGCTCTCTGACGACAGCGGTTATATTTCTTCTTCACCAACACTGTCTCATCCACATGGACTACTACGTCGTCCCCGCCTAACAACGAAGTAATTCTGTCCATTTTCCATGAGGCGATGTCCCTGCAGTGCTGGTATACCAGTGGTATACCACTGAACTGTTGAGACGAGGCTGTTTTCCATCTCGGCAGCAGCGGCTCTCACAGGCTGTTTCAGTGCCCAGTAATTGCAAATGTACAAAATCTGGGTTAGGGAGAGATGCGACGTAGCAAAAAAATCTCCTACGAAATATTACCCTCTCTAATACTAACTCGCTTCCAGCATATTCCACAACGATGTACAAAACCATCAGTTGACCTAGTATAGCTTTTTAGAGTCATAACACCATCACACGAACAACTTCTCTCCTTTCGAAGCAAGCCTAAGTCCAGGCAATACTGAAAGACACTATCCTCCTCGAATTACAAACGTAACCTTGTAAGGGCACGCACTGACATGAATCAAGCGCTATACAACATTGAACTACGTTCGTGAATCTCACTGGATAATTCGACGTCGTTCGCTGATTGGTAGTTATTGGTGTCTAAAGTTTAACTTGGCCAATAATACCATGACCCATTCACTACTGTAATGCACAAAACAGAACCAGAAATTTGCCTAAGTTAATAGAAATAAAACTTACGGGATGTTCATCATTTCAGGTGGTTGTTTAAAAACTACTTCACCTTCAACTTCGCCTTCACCTGAAGAGCCAATCAATACCGGAGAATCTGTAGCATCCATATCAACAGAATAAGAGTTAGGTGAATGCTTTGTTGTAGTATTCAAAGTTAAATCAATTAATAACTGATTTGTGGTACTAGTAAATGTAGGTTCCACTGGACCCGCGGCTTCAGTATACAACTGATTATCTAAAACAGATGGGGACACGTAAATACCAAGCTGACATAATAAATTATTGATTATTACATAAAACGGAGAAAAGTACTGCGAAAGTCAACTATACACCCTATAAGAAAGTATTAAATTTTGATGTGATTGTGTTCTCAAAGCCATGAGTGATTTAATCGCCAGGCTTTCAATGTCTTCCTTGACAACATCTTCAGTGCTTACTTCAATGTGAACTTCACATACGCTCCAAAAACATGATTTGTACGAGGGCTGAGATACTGTCTGGACGTTTAGACAGAAGCAAGTGCACAATCTTAAGGAACTGCTGCTTCCCGAATGGTAAAATAAAGGAATTTCGAGAAGATATAGCCATACCAAGCAATCATATATCATAAGTAATTGAATAATTACTACAGACGAGTACTACACACGATCATCAGCCAAAAGACAAATGTTCAACAAAAGCCATGAGTGGATGTACTACTGATCGAGTAATATAAGTAATTTGATGTAACACACACACACACCGAATAGTAGCTTTGACTAACCAGGCATAAGTGATCCTAACATTGGAAGGTTGTTTCCCTGCTTTGGAGGAAACGAAGTCATCAGCACCCAGTTTAACTCGGCTCAAATAATCGAAATAAGTTCAAACCAAATCCTATTCTGGTTAGCTGGCTACTTTGTCGGGCTGGTAATACATTGAATCAAAGTTGTTATTTAAAATATGTGTATAGCATGGGCACTTTGGTAGTGTGTAATTCCATGTCAATTAGTATATTAGATGGATATATCACACACGGAGTGAAACAGTATCATTATTTACTAGATGACAAAGTTTCCAACACAATTTATCATTGTTCATAATCGTGTCGCCAAGGTGTAACCACACAATTTCGAAACTTGAGTTTTATAATTTTCTTTGTTCTCTCCTATTCGTCGTCGTAGGGGTGGTAGAATGCATTTTCCAGATGTCCAACTGGACAGGTGTTGAATCATTCCTATTACACGTATTTGCAGTTAATTGGATACACAAAGCTTCCGTTATCAATCTCCCTCTCTCTCCACCTACTTGTTATATTCGATTTTAAAACTGTCATCTTATCTCGTCCATCCTATTGTATGGTTCTGTGTAATTTCTTGTAGTCAGTGCTATACCTACTGAACTATTCTCTAGATTTCTTGTCTTATTCAGGTCAACTAATCTAGATTTTGCTGCTAGGTTTTTGTACTCCAATAGTCTGACTGACACCGTTCTACTACTGTGAAATTTGTATTTAACCTGACAATCATTTCAGGCAGGGCATTAGATAAACTAAATTGTTTTGTTTAATTGGCTCTACAGGAATGATCCTTTAACCGACAAAGCTTGTTTCTAATTGAGTTTGTGGGTGATTTGAATGCCAGCCACTTTTATTCCTACATTGTTGAGAATTCCCCGCCATAAGGTTTCCGAGGTTCCTTCTTTGTATGGAGGTACCACTGATGATTTCAACTCCCTATTGTTAGTGTTGGCATCATTCTATGAATGTTTGTCACACACTACGTTATTGTTATTATTATTATCCGGTAAACAATACATAGGTCAGAGTAATAAGATGGGCTCAGTCAGGCTAACGGAACACAAAGCCCTAGCTAAATCTAGATTAGTTGACCCGAATAAGATATGAGATATGGAGAAAATAGTTCAGCTATAGTGCAACGCCAGAAGGTAAGACAAGGAAGCCAAGGTATCTTTTCAAGTGATCAAACAGCTATTTATATCTATGCTGTTTTATATTCTTTAACCACCAGTCACTGAGCCTGTGATTTTGGTTTACATTAAACAACATGAAATAGAATGTTCAAATACACATATACATTCTGTTGCTAATGCTCTATTGAACTGTGGGGAAAGTACGCTGTCTCTAACAGTAAATAGAATGTTGAAATAGATATAGCATTGTGTAGCTAATGCACTATTGAACTGTGGGAATATGTGAGAATAATATTCCGTTGGAGCAGACTGTTTGTATCACAACACCACAGGAGCAGCCAGCGATATATCAACAGAAACTGAGAATTCCCGTCCAATAAAAGTCTATATAGAAAATATCCCCATTTAGACATTTGAAAAACAGAAAGATTGAGCGGAGAAATATTTACTTTTCAATTAGATCCTCATCTCACTCTGGCTCTACTCTAATGTATTCTGTATAGCAGTTTTATTACAATACACAACAGTTTACCAAACAAGTGGCACTCATATGTTTGTTAACAATAATTAGTCAGTCAGTGTCAACATGTCAAGCAGTGGGGTGATAATTAACGAAGAAAATTAATACACACATTTAATAGGTAGAAATGGTTAGAATAAATTAATTTTACAAGGATAACATGTCATCCATCGTATTTCCGAACATCATCCAACATGGTTAAGCAGGGGACAAACAAGATCTATTCGTAGTTCTATTTTAGCACACCTTGTTGACACCTACTGAGCATAAGGTTGATGTGAATACTGCATTTAAAATTATTTATCGCATTCCGACTAATCTTAATTTTGCCCTACGAGTTCGTCTTCTGCAGACAGCTGAAGCAATCGGAATCCACCTAAAGAAGCCAAGCTTATGTGTTCAGGAGAAATTTGTACAGCTACTTTCGTTACCGTGGCCATTGTTACAAGAATGCATAAACAGGACTACGTCGCCCCCCTCCCCCTAAACCTATAAAAATTATAATTGTCCAAATTATTTTATTTTATTTGTATTTATTTTGACCACTTCATCTTTAATTACGTGTTATCCTTGTAAAATTAATTTATTCTAACCATTTCTACCTTTTAATTGTGTGTGTATTGATTTTCTTCGTTAATTATCACCCCACTGCTTGACATTTTGACACTGACTGACTAATTATTGTTAACAAACATATCAGTGCCACTTGATGATTGGTAAACTGTTGTGTATTGTAATAAAAAAATGCTATACAGAGTATATTAGAGTAGAGCCAGAGTGAGATGAGGATCTAATTGAAAAGTAAATATTTCTTCACTCAATCTTTCTGTTTTCCAATAAAAGTCTGACGACGGGATATTCAACGTAATGATTCCAACAAATCCCACTTAATTCATTCTCAAAATTTTGTAACCATGACTGAGATAAATATTAAGGCAAATTAAGACAAATTTTTTTTTACAAGAAACCAAAGTGACGCCGAATGAATGACTAACCTTCAGTCTGTGGTACATGTTCGCCAGTTGTATTCCTGTCGACAACAGGATCACCAGAACAAGCAGAAGAGGCTTGGATGGTGTGTGGAGGTGAATCAGAAGCACTTATTGCTGTTGTAGTTGTTGTTGTTGGTGGTGGTGTTAGCGGTGGCGATGTTGTCGCTTTCTCACTAACAGCCTCATTACGTTGTCCTAAACGCTTTCTCTGCCATTGTGCAAGTTCCATGCGTAGTGTTTTTGCTTGATCTATTGGATTTAATTTTCGACATCCAGATGATGAGGAAGAGGAAACAGAAGTTCCAATTCTGCGCACAGGTGGGGCATCAACAGATACCAAAGGCTGACGTTTGATAGATGACCTGATAGTACTAGATGACTGTGTATGGGATTTAGAAGTTATTGGAATTGATGAAGAAGGTCTCAGCATTTTTTGCTGAACATGTGGAATGCCTGTACTTTGAAATTTCTGAACAAAAGAAAAAATAAGTGGATAAAAGATGACAATGTGCTCACTTTAAAAGATCTCATAAAAAGAGACTCAATAACTCATTCAGACCGGTGAACAGAAAGGAGTAAAAAAACGAGAAATTAGGCTAGCAATCTGCTTAAATTCTGACATTAGCGACAATCGGATGAATTGTTGGCGTTTTCAACTCAAAAACGACCTACGACATGATATTCGATCATGTTTGAGGTGAACAGGAATCATGAATGTCTGTTTTTACTTCATTTATCGATTTTAACTCATTCAGGGATAGAAATCTCACCAACCACGTTTCACGTGGTCCTGGGTTCGATTCTCCGTCAACGCAATCCTACACCTCGCTAAGCTCGTAAAGAGGGAAGCTTGAGCAAGAGCTAGGCTAGCAACTCCCCCCACCCCATAAAAATTAAAAACCAATGGTACTAAAACTTTAAAGTTCTAGCTTGAAACCTTATGTCCCCACTGGGAACGTCTCTCTTTCTGTCCGTTTGAACACAGAACTTTGCACCAGTGTGCAGCAGTTCCAGTCGCCACACTCCCTCCATGTAGCACACAAAGCAACAAAAGAAAGTAAAAAGAATCGCAAAATAGAGACAGTAAACACAGATCTGAGGCAAAAAGAATAGTAATAACGAAGAACAATATAGTTTTATTGGAAATTATAAGTCACAAGGAGTGGATGCAACTGCGCCAGCCATTGAGAACAATTTTGAGCCACATCACCGATTGTCTCCAGCAACCATTGGTGTTTACCGTCCCGAGGACCCCAACCAAGAAGTCTACATCTCCTTACGTGACTGGTTTAAACTAACTGTTGTGGATTTCATTCACTGTTGGGGTTATATTTTGGTTTGACCACCATTAGCTCTTTTCCACGCTGATCGCTCCTATGTCAGCTAACATTGCCCGTCGAGGAAGGCGATGGCCAGACATGCATGCGAAACATATGTCCTAACCATCTCAGTCGATGTGACTTCACAGCCCCGTCGATTGATTTTCCCTCCTAATCTAGCTCTAGACGCCTAACCTCAATATTGTTCACCCTATTACACCTACCACTTAACACGGGAGATAGAACGCAAGCACCTATGATCAAAGACAGCTAGCCGGCCAAACTTTTCATGGTCAGGTCTTGCTTACAGCCATCACGGAGGACGGAGTGGACTGCTGAGCAGTACACACGCCCTTTAGTCGACAGCCAACCAGACATCACGTCCACTAAGCCAGAGATGGCGTAAAGTGGCATATGCGAAACTAGCCCTCTGTATCCATGCTGAGATTTCGTCAGTGATCAACCCGTTGGGACTGGCTGATGCAACTTTCCAAGTAAGTGAAGTGATCAACGCGCTCTACCACTTCACTTCCTATTTCTAAGCCAGGAGTCAGTGTAGTCCAGTCCAGTCCTGTAGCATCATCTGACATTTGACAGCACGAGCGAATCGCATGCCAAACATTCGAAGATTGTAGCTCAAGGTGTTCAAAAGACTCTGCTGTATTTTGTCAGCGTCTTCACCTAGCAGGGAGGACTATATCATCTGCATATTCTAAGTCAACGAGATTATTCCCTGACGGTAACAAGTCAATCCCTGAGTCTCTGAAGTCAGTCAGTTAGGGTTAAGTCCATTAGTACTTAACCCTGGGAACGTAAAGGAATAAAAGAGACAAAAAAGAAAAATAGGTCAACTACATATTTGAGATACCAGGTCTTTAAATAACAAATGTATCTATGCTTATGTTTCCGTTGGGTTCCAAGTGGAATAGAACGCCTTCAGAAGCACATATCCGCTTCACCTTGTTCTCTGAAGTCCTTTTTAACCAACTCCGTGATCACCCACAAGCCTTTCACTTCCACTTCCTCACATGATATTCTTTATATCACCCTGAATCAAACACCCAACTCATCACCCCCAACCAATTCGGGTTTCGCTCGACGTTCTAAATGGCGTGTGATACCACTCAACGAACAGAATAGTTTCAGCATTATGGTTAAGAAGATTGAAGAGAATACAACATACAATTATTATATCATTATTATTGTTCCCTTGGGTTCCTAGTGGAACACAGGGCTTCAACTGCTTCAACGTCTCCACTTGCTCCTGTCTTCTGCTGTACTTTTCACCTGCATCCATGTTAATCCATTCTGTTTCAGCTCCTCTTCACACGATCTCCTCCATGTCACCCTTGGACATCCCACTCGCCGCTTCCCTTTCGGGTTCCACTCGAGCTATGGCCTGACGCGCGATTTCACCCAGCGGCCTCCTCAGCGAGTGTCCAATCCATCTTCATTTTCTCCTGCATATTTGTTGAGCGATTGGTTCTTGTTTTGTTTGTTCCCATAGTTTCTTGTTGGTCTTTCTTTCTTTCCGGCCATCTGATCTTCAGTATAGAGCCAGCGAAGACAGTTAGTTGTTGATAAAGGTCTGCAACAGGCTGTTCGAAATATTGTTTGTGACACACTGGCCAAGTTTCTGATCCCCGTATAGAAGAACTGACCGACTTGACGTCGTTTGTATAGAAAATCCGAATCACTTTGTTGTTGATGCAGGCTGAGTGACGAAGATTTCCAGATTGGTTTCAGGTTGATGAATGTGTTTCTCGCCTTCCCGATTCTCGCTCGATTTGACATCCTCGTCCGTCCGTTTCTCCTGTAGTAGTTGAGACAATGCTCCCTAGATAAGTAAGTGAGTGGAGTAACCTCTTTCAAATCACTCCCGCTGATGGTGATTGGCACTGGATGCTGCTGTTGTTGTTGTTGGTTGGTTATTTTCATAACCTCCGTCTTGTCTATGTTCACCTGGAGTCCTGTCTTCACTGCCTGCCTCTTCGAACAGTTTGTCGGTTTTCGCTTGTAAGTCTTCGATTTTGTGTGACATCAAACATAAATCATCCACGCGCGAAATCCAGGTCTTCTAGGTTCTTCACGTCGGTCCAGGATATCCCTGTCTTCTCGTTTCCCACTGTCTGACGCATAATCCAGTCCACCACAATTAGGAATATCATTGGTGATAATAAGGACCCTTGTCTGACTCCTGTGTTTACTCCAAACGCTTCGCTGAGTTTTCCGTTGTGGATCACTTGGCATGTGCCGTTGTCGTACAGTTGTTGAATAAGGTTGATGAATATTTGGGGTACGCCGTAATACTCGAGTAGTTTCCAAATTACTTCGCGGTCAACGCTGTCGAAGGCCTTCTCAAAGTCAATACAGTTGAGGTAGAGGTTTGATTGCCATTCCATGCTTTGTTCGATGATGATGCGTAGAGTTGCAATTTGGTCAGAACATGATTTGCCTTTCCTGAATCCAGCTTGTTCTGGTCGGAGTTCTGTATCCAGTGCGTCCTTTATTCTCTCCAGGATGATGCGACTCAGGATTTTACTTGGCGTCGACAGGAGCATGATTCCTCGCCAGTTCTTGCAGAGTCCTAGGTCGCCTTTCTTTAGTAGTTTTACAAGGTAACCTTTCCTCCAGTCAGAAAACATACGATACCACTCTAAAATATCAGACTTACATTTTTCATTGATGTTTGTACAAGTGAAGCACTACTTTGAAGGAATCCACGACCTGCAGGCTTCTGTCTAGGCAGAACATGGGCTGTAGAAGAAGAGGTTTGTGATTTTCCCCCGGTAGAGGCTTTAACCATACGAAGTTCATTATGAACACGATTAGCTGGTTTACTTGAAGAATCCTTTAAAGTTTGTTTATTCAATGAGTGTTTATTTGGTGCGGTAGATGACTTTATCTTTGCTGAAATATTCACCAACATATCAGCATTCAATACAACATCTTTAGCACTTATACTTTCAGGTGAAGCATCTAAAAACTGATCCTTCATATTTTTAACTACAGGATAAAAGAAAATAAACAAAAAGTAAAACGAATTACTCAAAGGAGGACTATTTATTGATCTTGTAAGAGTAGGTTGTTTAACCACAAACCGATATGAATTGGAACTTCGGAAACCATTCGCGTGCTTAACAAACGTTAATAGCTTTCCTATTTGTCCTCTATCATTCTTTCTTTTGTGTTAAAATTTATACTACTTACAACCAGTCAGTAGTATGAATTCATATTAATTCAAAACCCCATTGAGTCATATGAAAAACAGAAGACGTTCAGCGAAGAGACTCTTTTCGGCGAATTCATTCACATAGCTGTACAATCAGATTTATATACAATTATTTTTGTGTGTGTGTCGGTCGGTCGGTTTTGGGCATAGAACTTTTCATATATGTGCGGCAGTTCAAGTCGCCACACTCCCTCCATGTAGCACACAAAGCAAGAGAAGAAAGTAGGAGAAATGCATAATAGAGACAGTAAACAGAGGTATGAGACAAAGGAATAGTAATAACAGAGAACAAAACAGTTTCATAGGAAATCATAAGTCACAAGGAGTGGATACATCTGCGCCAGCCATCATTGAGAACGAGGATTTTGAGCCATGTCACCAGTTGTTTCCAGCCTTCATTGGGTTTTACCATCCTGAGGACTCTAACCAGGAAATCTGCACCTTCCTACGTGGCTTAGACTAACTGTTGTAGATTTCATTGACTGGTGCCATGTTTTCATTTGACCGCCGTGTGTGTGTGTGTACATGAGGTTTGTCAAGTTTAGATAATTTATCAGGTAATACAAGAATGATCTAATATAGAAACAAGGTTAACGGGACAACAACTAAAGTAAGGTTGACTTAGTAAGTTAGATGACGTAATATAATTCACTGAAAAGTTTCAACTTAGGTCAAGATAGCAACAGAGGTAATTACAGGTAGAGACTGAGTACAGATGGGGTAGAGTATAATGCCATCTAAATTAGGACTAAAATTGAGCAAATAAATTGGATGACGTAACATAAATGACTAGAAATTGAGCGTTGATCAAGTCAGTATGAGTGGTAATGAGGTGTAGAAATTAAATCGGGTGCGAGTAGAGAACAGGAAAGTTGAAAATGTAAAATATTCCAATTGTAAAGACAAAATAATACTGATGAAAAGACAGAAAGAAATAGAATTAAGACAGATTACGCCCATTGCAAGTGTATTGACTGAACGAACTTCTTCTGCATGCAGAGTTCAGGACTTAGTAAGTGAATTGACATTGCTTCTGCAATCTGATTCGTACACTTTCAGGAAAACTGCTTCGTATTCCGTAGACGACTTTGAAGTTTGTCTGGAGAGTAGCTTGGTGTCCTGAATGTATCTACAGCTGCGGGGGCATCGATTTCTCCTCCATAAAACCATGCTGGCAAGTGTTCGGTGATACGTTGGGAAAGCGAACGTCTGGTACGGCTGACATACCTGGCTCCCTACGAGCAAGTGAATTAGCAGATACACACAGCAGTGGCAGCTTATCCTTCACGTTCATACGAATCATAGGTTTTGTGGAGAAGGTTAATCGTAGTTCAGCTGCAAAGAATATTTTCATAAGTCAACACGACAGTCGATTTCTCGGTGTTTCCGTAGACGAATCTCCATTGAATTGAAGGTTCATGCAGAGACGTTTTAGCGATGTGCTAAGCGTAGGTGGCTTTTGTGGTCTAGGATTCATGGATTTTGCAATAAATCGTTCTGAGTAACAATTATCGACGAGGATTCTCTTAAGATTGTCCAGTTCGTCTTCTGTGGTATCCGGGGTGCAGATTCTGCGGACTCTGTAGCTAATTGAACGGATCGGGTTTCGTTTGGTGCATAGAGGAGCCCAACTGTGAAAGTTAGTAAGCTGTCCTTTCCATATCGACTTTCTGTAGATAGATCTTTTCAGTGTTCCGTCAACTAGGAAAACATTGGAAACCATTCGTATGCTGGACAGATGTTAATTCCTTTCCTATATGCCCTTAGTTTTTATTTCTTTTGTGTTCAAATTTATACTACTTACTACTAGTCAGTAGTATGCGTTTATGGTTAGAATTTAATTGGTGGATGGTGGCTAGCAGTGGAATTCAGGATGCGCTCTGGGCACTGGGTTCGAGTCTCAATGGTGGGAAAATCATCACTCACTGGGAAATGCCGGTACATCCAGATGACGAGTCTCAAATAGGACGGCTGAGATGTGCATCCTGACTGGATTCCACTGCTAGTCACTATCCACCAGTCAAATTCTAATTAAGTGCCCAGACATCGCCGAAGCATGTGCACAAGAAGCCGACAGGTCAACCTGAGACCGAACACTTCGGTCCAATCAATCGACGGAAAAATCTAAAATGCGTTTATATTTGTTACTCCATAACTATCACCGTTGTGTGCTATTGAAGTTTAACTCATTCCATATATGAATACTCTATTTGGTGTACAGTAATTATTTTCTTATGGTTAAACATTTTCCACTGCATATGCTTCATACATACACCTTTCTGCGTTGATGTTAATGTTCATTCAAATTCCTTTGTTCCAAGTCTAACATTCGCGCGCTGTTTAATCTAACTGTGAAACGCTTTAAACACAATTGTGCTGTTTGTAATTATTGATGCACAGTGACTGTGCATTTGTCGGCACTCAGTCAGAGACACCACACAATCTGAGGTGTGTATATTATGTTTCACTATTCTGTGTTTAGTATAGTAGCGTTTTTTAGACAAATCCTGTGTTTTTTGGATCTTAAACGTAACTCAACAACGTTTGGATTATCACTCCAGATTGATTTTAGAAGAAATTCAAGAAGGTTTTGTCCTAGTTTAAGACGCCTCATCAGACCACATCCATAATCTTAAGAAAAGATGAACACAATACCTTCAAGTTACAAGTCCAGTCCGTTGACTATTCAACCTCAATGTTCTGGATTGAATACCTCTTGTGGATTCATGGGTGTGTGCATTACTGGAGAATCCCAAGGTGGGGTGGAATCAATATCCACTGCTTCTTGGGCGCTCCAAATCCTGGGGTTGTGTTACAGATCCTCGCTATGTTTTTATTATTTCAACAGGTGTTCATCAACCACAAAAGGAAATATTCTACTTAGCGAAGAATGTCAGTGTGCAACATAGATGGCACTGCAATAGAATTCAAGTCGGAAATTAAGTGTCTTGGCATCATTCTATCTGCTGATCTCTCCTGGTCGTCTCATATCTTGGCGATTTCTAAGAAAATATTCCGTCTTACCTTCTACATCAAGAAGTTAAAACATTCTGGTATAACCCAACCCTTACTCCTACAATTCGTTGACTCTCGCATTCTGCATGTTATTCTCTATTGTTCCCCCTTAGTTTTTCCCGGACTACTGAAAAAAGACTATACCTCATTACGCAGGATGTTAAAGGTTGTCAGCAGGGTAAGCAACGTGCCAATTAACCAGCTTGTTAATATTCTGGTTGACAGGCACATGGACTCATGTGAAAAATGGGCCAAATCCATTTTATCTAACTCACACCACCCTCCTCATCCACAGCTCTCCCCTTGTATCTCATCAGGCAAAACCAGAAGCCTATATACAAAACTATATGCTCGCAACAGCAAGTACAAAAACTCAACCACACCCTACTTAGCTCGTGTTCTGTGTGATAAAGAAAGCATTAGGCGTGATACCTATAATTCATTAAATAGTCAGTAGAACAACTGGACCTCGTCTTTCCAAATCATATCATTTATAGGTACAACATTTTCTTTCTTTCTGTTCCTATTCTCTCTCTTTTTTTCCGTTATGTGCTGCTTTGTTTCTTTCTCTCACTTACGCCAGTAAATATGACAGCTCCTACTTTTCTAACACCTTCAAACACTGTTCAGCTTTGTCTTTGCTACCGATATGCCAATATGTTGTTGTAATAATGAACTGAGATTTCCTTAATCTATGTAGAATCCTATTTATTGATAATGTACTAACTGGATGCAATACTGTAGTAAAAATGCTGAGAATTCCATTCTGTATCACAAGTACTGTTTTGGAATAAAGCAAATTACTATTATTATTTTTAAGGGTTTCGCTTCAGTAATTGTCAGAGAAATCATGTCTGATTAACACTGTTTTCAAATCTGAAGATAAAATGTACAAACGGACAGAAAAACGGGGCAGCAATGTGATCACGAATATTTTTTATAGTAAATAGAAGACGTATTCATAGAAAGTTGGGGGGGGGGAATATGAAGCTTTTGTTACGTTTAATCCCATTCCTAAAGTACGGTAGAGATATGTATAGACAATAACACATTTAGAGTTTCGAGAAATGAGTGTACCCCTCATTTCTTCACACATACATACATACTCAGTAGTAGATGGAATTCCATTCACTTTCAAATCAGAAAGACATCAGATTTTATCGAAAAATCTATAAAGATCCATAAGGGAAATAAGGGTACCAATGTGAATAATGGAAATAATATAATTGATAAGGAATTCAAATCCTCCAAAGTACTGATATAAAAAGAAAGAACACCAGAGGCCCCCTGTAAGATTCTTAACAATGAGGGAACTATTATTATTATTACCCCCTTGGGTTCCAATTGGAACATGCGTGACCAACAACACATCTGTACTTTCTTCTACTGTCTACTGTCCTCTTTAACTGGCCCCACGGTTGCCCAGAGTCTCTCATCTCCTCTATGTCACTCTCGAACCGATGACCCACACGTCGTTTCCCATTCGTGTTCCGCTCGAGCAATGAGCTCCACTGTGCGCGATGTCATTCGACAGCCTCCTCAACGTATGCCCGACCCATCTCCATTTTCCTCTGCATATTTGTTGAGCAATAGGTTCTTGATGAGTATGTGTCCCACAGTTTTTTCTGGCCTGCTATTTGATCTTCAATACAGAGGCAGCCGGCGAAGGTGGTAGCTGTTGATAAAAGTATGTAGCTTGTAGGAAATCCTTTTGGTGACGCGCAGTGAAAGTTTCTTACCCATTCGGAAGAACTGACTGACTTCACACTTGTGTTGAAAAGAATCCGAATCTTGTTGTTTATGATGGCTGGGTGGAGTAGAAGATTTCCAAACTGATTTCAGATTGAAGAATACTTTTCTTGCTTTTCCAATGCCTAATCTCAGTATTGCTCACCCTATTATATCACTTCACACGGGAGATAGAACGCAGGCACCTATGATCAAAGACAACTAGCCTTTTCATGCCTTTCATTTTCAATGGCCTGGTCACAAAGCCGTAACGGAGGACGGAACGGACTTCTGAGCAGTAAACCCGCCCTTCGGTCGACAGCCAGTCGGATATCACGCCTACTAAGCCAGAGACAGCGTAAACCGGCATATGCGAAACTAGCCCTCTATATCCGTGCTGAGATTTCGTCGGCGATCAACCTGTTGGGATTGGTTGATGCAACATCCCAAATAAGTGAAGCGGGAAACGCTGAAAGAATAGCAGAAAAGTCTTTACTATTTTATTACTCAACATATTTTAAGTAACGTAATCTAATCTGTAATAGGAAGTGTCACACTCAGTCTTAAGACGCTTGATATTAATGCGAGTATTACTATCAATCGTTAGAAGTCATTTACTTGACAGGGACTTTTCACCTTCAAATTTTCACTGTAAGGTAACTATGATACTGTAACGACAGAAGACAATGGCCAGGGTAAGATCGTTCATTGAGAAAATCAAGAGGTATTTACATATTTTTATGTACATTATTGGAGAAGCAACGTCTTCTGATTGGCCGTTTTCTTGCTGAAGGTTATTCTGTCATCTCTTTGTGGTCGTTTCTTAGAAAATTAAGCCATATATCTGCGAATCGTGTTTGCACACGTTAAGTCTGCTGTGATTGGTTGGTGAGTTCCTCAAGGTTAGGCTTTGTTTTTGTTATTGTGTTTTTCTCATGACCCTGATTCGGGACGTAACATTGACGTAAATTGTTATCTACAATTTCGGCTTCCAGCCAGCTCTCACAACAATACTACACCCAGGTGAAACGCAACTCGAGCTCACTAACTTACTATCTACAAATGGAGTGCTTCAACAAGTGAGCCACTTCATATAGTACGTATTACGTTTGTAATAAAAAAATATGATAATTACAATAACAAACACCTAACGTCAAATCAGAGCTTCTATATGATCACGAGATCTGGTCACGTTATCAAAAAGCATTTCGAACAGCCTACTGCACACTTTCATCAACTCCTGCGTCTTCACTACTTCGATACCGTTCACCAGATAGCTGGACAGAAAAGATAAACAATAAGGAACTGTGGTAACGAACCCACTGAGAACCTATAGCCCAAGATATGTATAGAAGGTAATAGTGTGGTGAGAGCTAGCTGCAAGCCGAAAATCGATAGACAGCAATTTACGTCAATGTTTACGTCGCAAATCGGGGTCATGAGGAAAAACACGATAACAAAACTTAACCTCGAAGAACTCACCAACCAATCACAGCAGACTTAACGTATGCAAACACGATTCGCAGATATATAGCTTAACTTTCTGAGAAACGGCCACAAAGACATGACAGAATAACCTTCAGCAAGAAAACGACGAATCAGAAGACGTTGCTTCTCCAGTAATGTACATAAAAATCTATAAATATCTGCTAAGTTTCTCAATAAACGATCTGCTGCCTGGCCATTGTCTTCTATCGTTACAATAGATTCGGAATACACTCTAAGGAAACCTCTTTAAGTAACAGTTGATCAAGTAGAGCCCGAAGGGGAAGTGACAAGTTAGGGATGAGTCCAAGGGTGAAATGGAGACCATACGAGGCGGAAGAAATGAAAGCTTCTAGGGCAGTTATGGAATCACATGAAAAAGAGATAACAGAGTACCCGATAGGACATAGATGTCCGTCTTTGTGGAGTTATGTTCACCTGGAAAAGGATAAAAATAAACAAATAAATAAATAAACATACCGATTTCAGAAGATTGTGAAGTGTACAATTCATTACAGCGTGTTTCATTCTGTTGAAAAGATAGTAATGAAGCTGTCAGTGAAATATCTTTAACAACAACCTCTGTCTGGCTACACAATTTTAGATTACTATCTGAAGCATAATGTGGTGTTGCAATGGTGTCATTCTTCATTTCATACACTTCATCAGACGATTGGAAATCTTTAACAAAGACACATGGTAATGATGAAGAGAAAGAAGAAATTGACGATGCATTTTGATAATATTGATGACGGTGATTATGATGATGATATTGATGAGAAAATTCACTGGCTGCACCTTCAGCAGGACTTGATGGTCGAGGATTATAATGTGAAGTATCAATTTCTTTTTCATCATTCATTGTAACCTGAAACGCGAATCAATCAATCAATCAATTAATCAATAAATAAATTAATTATATAATAATAATAATATGAAATGCAATTAAAACTAAAATGTTTGTGATTATAATCGTAGTTAAATGTCAAGTGGCAAAGCAAATTAATGTCATATATAGAATAATTCATAAGATGGATAGATCTTGGAAGGAGTGTGAAATTATAAGATTAGTAGACAAATAGAATAATATAAAAACGTTACGTAATATTGTGTGAAACTTAATAGCATAGAATATAATGTTGCATAAAGGAATTGATTTAGAATGACAAGTGGAACAAGTGAATTAATACCGGGGACAATTAAAAGTGAGAGTAGTAATAGTAACAACTGACTTAATAAGGAAGACTATACAAATTGAATAGACAAAAATGAAAAATTGGTAGAGCTAAAATATGATTGGGGATTACCATACTTTAGCATAGAGGGATCATAGCACCATGAAAGTTGGAGGGGTTGAACGAACTTCTTCTGTACGCAAAGATCTGACTTTCCTGTTTCGATAGCCAAAGCTTCAGCAATATAGATGAGTCAGGTACGTAGGGATTTGGGTAAATTAACCTTTGCCTTGTAGATGACTTTAAAGGCGGAGGCTGCAGAGATCATTATTGACCAGATGTTCAATGATCGCGCTTCTTATTGCTCCACTTCCACCTTTTCGTAACCATGCAGGATAGTGTTCTTGCACCCTCTTGGACAAAACTCGTGTCGACCAATATACCTAGCTCCACACGACCAGGTGAATTGATAAACACACATAGAGTTGGTCAACAGCGGGATCTTGTCCTTCAGGTTATTGAACAATAATGGTCAACTAGTAAAGGCTATTCTCAGAGATGCAGCAGGGAATATTCTTTTCAGGGACTGTGATATCCTTCGTTTCATGATATCGGAAGCTAAGTCCCCTTTGATATAGATATAGCACACAAGCCAGTCAAATCGCTTAATTCGATATTATGCAAACCGAAAGATCCAACAGAAAAAGGAGATAAAATTAATACCATTTACAAAATAAATTGTGTGAACTGTAACACACATTACATCGGCCAAAGTGGGCAACCCCTTCGAATTAGAATCCAAGAACACAAATCAGCTGTGAAAAGACATGATATATATTCCTTCAAATCAATGCATACAGACAATTAAGAACAACAGTTTGATTGGGATAATATCGAAATCTTAGACAAAGAAAACACCAAAAGTGTAGTTAGGGAATTCCTAGAAGCCCGGTACTCAAACCAAAGTGCAATTAACAAACACGTTAATATAGACGAAAAAAACCAACTAATAAAAAGTAAATCAGGTGACCAGAAAGTTTAAGATCCAAGTCAATAGAAAATGGTCAATACATATGTAAAGATAGTTACAAGGAGACGCAATTATATCACTCATGAAGAAATTTAGATCACTTCACATTATGCTAAAAATTGCGCTGAAAGGGGATGTTGTCCAGAAGGACGACGAAAGCTCCAGAACTAAACCAACCAGCTCAGAGAACACTATTAATTGCAAATCATCCACCTGAGCCACAAATGTTCTCTATTATTTCAGAATGTTTGTTTGGCAATTTCATCAAAATTATGTATACCTTATCTGAAAATCGTCATTTGCACAGATCTTCCGTGTTGTGCTACTTCTGCCCTTCCTTCGTCTTCTTTTCGTATCTCCAATGTTTTGTCGCAATACCGGTTGGCTCATTTCCTTTTTATGACATGAAATCTCTCTCTGTCTCTCTGCTATTTGATATATTTGTGTGCCGATGAACGTGTCTTAATATATGCTGCTGATAAATCTTGGAAGTATAACCGGTGTAAACGTGATATCCGGCTGGCTGTCGACCAAAGGGCGTGTGCACTCCTCATCAGTTCGCTCCGACCTCCATTATGACTCATCAAGACATGGTCATTGAAAGTCGAAGATGTGAAAAGGCTAACTGTCTTTGATAATAGGTGTCTGAGTTCTATCTCCCGTGTTATTGATTGGGTTGTAACGATAAAAAACAAGGACCAGGCAACAGATCCTTTATTGGGAAAATCAATAGATATTTATAGAATTTTCTGTGCAATATTATTGGCATTATTGTTAGCGGAGAAGCAACCTCTTCTGATTGGTTGTTTTCTTGCTGAAGGTAAATTCTGTCATGTCTTTGTGGCTGTTTCTTAGAAAGTTAAGCCATATGCCTGCGAATCGTATTTCCACACGTTAACTCCGCTGTGATTGGCTGGTGATTTTCTTAAGGTTAAGCTTTGTTATTGTTTTTTTTCATAACCCTGATTTGACGTAAACTGTTCTCCACAATTCTCACCACAAAATGAGCAATAGTGAGTTGGTTAGGCGACGGTCGAGTGTTAGGTAAGAAGGGAAAATCAAACGACGAGATTGTGAAGTTGCATGGATTGAGATGGTTAGGACATTTGTTAATTATGCCTAGCTATCGCCTTCCTCGCCTGGCTAATGTTACCTGACATAGGATCGATCAGGTTGGAAAAGAGCTAGTGGTGATCAAACGAAAACATGACTTCATCAGTCAATGAAATACATAACAGTTAGTTTAAACCAATCAGCCAATCACGTGCGGCGGTGTAGACTACCGGTCAGGTTGGTTGAGGTCCTCGGGTTGGTGGTAAGACTTAATGAAGACCGGAGACAATTGGTGATATGGCCGAAAATCGTTCTCAGTGGCAGGCGAAGATGCATCCACTCCTTGTGACTTATAATATCCAATAATATCCATTGTTCTTCTGGCATATTACTATTCTTTTTCCCTCACTCACACTTGTGTTTTGAATCTCTTTTTACTTTCTTTCTGTTGCTTTGTGTGCTACAACGCGAGAGTGTGGCAGGTAACTCGAACTACTACACATCAGTGAAAAGTTCCACGTTGAAACCAGTCAATCGGTCAGTGTCAGTCGGACACGCCACTACACGATATTACTTCCTTATAAAAATGCATAGCAGTAAATTGGGGGTGGGGGGTAGGAATTTAATACCTGTGGAACAAGGAGTAGGATTCTATCGCCTGAGAGTTGACTATTTAAGTCAATCAGTTCCACTATCGAGATATTTTACTCAATTCTATGCGTTCTGTGTGGAACATAGGGCTTAAAGCTTGAATTTTGAAGTTTCATTAACAGTGGCGCTCTTTTTTTGTTTACGAGATGATGGTTGTTAGCCTTACGCCCGAAATTCCCTCTTTTCCACACCGCTAACTATCGCCCAGTAAACTAGTCGGTTGGAGACATCGGCTTCGATGACTTAGACATGTACTAACAATGTCATCCCAGAGGAGGCTTCCGTACAGGTCTCTGTTCGCTAGCCCTAGCAAGGGATGGAAAAAGCGGAGAGGTAGTCAGTTCATGCAGTGGCGTCGTGAGATGAAGAATATTTGGGTGTGTTCAGTTAGCATCGGTTGGTGCTTAAGGACTCCCTGCTTGGAGTTTGAGAGACAGCTCGAATCGGTGGCTCAAAACGTTATCGGATATGGCCAAGAATCCATCAATCAATGGCGAACGTGCCGCAATTTCTTTCTTTCTTCCCTTTCCGTTTTCCTTCCAGATGAAGTACTTTATCCGTTCTCTACCTATGTGGTAAGAGCTGTCTGCTAGCCAAAATTGGTAGACAGCAATTGGTCATGAGAAAAAAACAAGAACAAAGACTAACTCGACAAACCAATCACAGCAGACTTTGTGCGGGCGAATACGATTGGCAGATGTATGGTCTGTTCTTCAAAGAAATGGCCACAAAGAGATGACAGAATAACCTTCAGCAAGAAAACAACCAATCAGAAGACGCTGTTTCTCTGCTAATAGTAACGAATAATAATATACATAAAAATATATGAATATCTATTGATTTTCTCAACAAACGATCTGTTCCCTGGCCCTTGTTTTCAGTCACTACACCTATACTTATACCACAGGTTTTATTATTATTATTGTGTGGCGCATCTTCTTAGTACCATACCGTACCACGGTTTTTGTGTTTAAATAATTTATAAATAATAATAGGAAACCGGTCGGGAATCGAACACCACACCATATGTGTGATTGGCGCGCACAGAATTATCAACAGATTAAAATAATACCAACTTACTGTATTATTCATATTATCAACAGATATTTCATCGCGTCCATCAGTGGAATTGACGATTCTACTTCCAAGAGTTCTTACAGTCTCTTGTATCCCACTGCTTGACTTCTCCCAAATACTACTTGAATCCATGACTGTTGTTGTTGTTGTTGTTGTTGTTGAATATTCCATAGTTCTTTTGAATGTATTTTTTCCTTCAGCAGGTGCAGATACTAGATTCTCTAATTTGTCTAAAGATACTATAGATAATCTAGAGCCTAAACAAGGCGCAATTTCAGCTTCACTTGGTTCTACTGGTGTATAGGGAATATTAGCGCGTAACTGACGGACTGTATCATTATCACCATCATCATCATCATCGCCGTCGGCACCACCATCTGCAGGAACCTCTTCTTTAGATGATGCCTGTGGTGATGCTGATTGCTGTTGTAACTGTGAAGGCGTTTCAGCGGTTGTAACAATATGATCCTGTTGACCATCTAATTTATTCTCTAATACATTTTCAGGCGGTGAATACGTCGTACTAGATAAATACCCGAATTCTGATGACTTTCTACTATCTGTCCATGATGAAGGAGTATTTGAGAGATTAATAAAATCAGATGTCACTTGAACTGTATGCACTGACTCCTCAGAATTATCTTCATCCAGTCGTGGTAAGGGTTTAAAGCGTACACCTCCTATTGAATGATTATTTGATGATGGTGTATTAGGGATTTGTGATAATAAATATCCATTTTCATCATTTCTAGATAATTTTGAGGATTTATTTAAATCAGAAGTTTGTTTTGTACGGGATTCGTGGGATTCGCATTGCGCTTCTGACCAATTTATTTCATCGGTGTTGGTTACTTCAGAGAGACTGTGAAATTCTCTATTTGATCCTGTTCTCGTCGATGTTGTTGCCGGTGATGATGATTGTAAAGACGGTGAACTGATCACTTTACTTCGATTTAAGTTAGACAAGTTAAGAAGTCGATCTTTGTTAGCCTGTAGTGTAAAATTTAGAAGAACACAAAAATGTCAGTAAACAATATCGAATTTTCATTTAGAACTTCTTCAGGCTTTACTCTAATATACCTATATAACTTTATATATACATATATATTAATGAGGAACATAGGGCTTCAGCCGCACGTTTCCATTGCATTCCCTTCTCCGCCAACCTTCTCACCTGCTCCATGTCACCCTTGGACGACTTACTCGCCGATTCCCGTCCCGGTTCCACTCGCGAGAGAGTCTGGCGTGTGACGTCATTTGCACGGTATTAGATAAACTAAATTATTTTGTTTATTAGGCTTTACAGGATTGATCGTTTAACCGACAAAGCTTGTTTCTAATTGAGTTTGTGGGGTGTGTGAATGCGAGTCACTTTTATTCTTGCATTGTTAAGAATTCTCCGCCGTAAGGTTTCCGAGGTTCCTTCTTTGTATGGAAGTACTACTGATGACTTATATTCCCTATAGTTGGTGATATCATTATCCTCTTAATAATTACCCTGATAAATTATTCAGAAAGTATGTACGGAAACGTAAAACTAAAATAAATAGTGACAGTAGTGGTAGTGACAATGATAATAGTAATATTAATGACGACATGCATGTAAAACATGCACAAGACAAAACCAACAATAAGGAATCTAAATCATCAGTAGTACTTCCATACAGAGAAGGAACCTCGGAAACCTTGTGGTGGGGAATTCTTAACAATGCAGAAATAAAAGTGGCATTCAAATCACCCGCAAACTCAACTGGAAATAAGCTTAGTTGTTTAAAGGATCATTCCTGTAGAGCCAATTAAACAAGACAATCTAGTTTATCTAATGCCCTACGTGAAATGATTGTCAGGTCAAATACATAAGTCAAAGTAGTAGAACAGGTGCAGTCAGACTAGCCGAACATAAAAACCTAGCAGAATCTAGATTAGTTGACCCGAATAAGATAAGAAATCTAGAGAATAGTTCAGTAGCTATAGTACTCACTACAAGTAATTACACACAACCACACAATAGGATGGATTAGATAAAATGACACGCTACATAGGCACAGCATAGTAGCACCTGCTCGGACAGTACAGACACAATCACCGCGTCAAGGTATCAGTGATCGGTTGCACATGTTTCATAGATAATTGAAATTAATATTTAAAAAAAATTAATTAACTGGGTAAATTGTGTATCAATTATCCAAAAGAAAACTTACACTAATATATTTATTAAGAACACGTTTTTTTATCGATTTAATTAAATCAACATTTAATGGTGAATCGTTTGATGAATTTTGATTGGTTAATGAATTCTCAGCATTACCATCACCTGAAGGTCGAACTATTGATTGGAAATCTGAGGCATTATTATTCTTTTCAATATCTATATAGCAAAATTAAATAAAGGTATAGAAAACGGAAATTACTTGCATATAAAAGTCGTAATAGAATAAAGAAACATTAATAATAACGACTTTAGTCTTAACAGTTTTTATATAATGTACAGAATTTTAAGCGGAGTTTATGACACGATATTTTCTCCTCGCATAGGATCTTTTAAAAAAAGACTAATTGACAGTAGATCGTGTCACGGAGTGCTGTCTGATCTGAAACGCAAATCAATCCGCCATTATGATATCTTTCTTCTTTGTCTCTTACGAGAAATACACGCCGACATTTCGTTGAATGACGATTATAAAAATCTCACGATTACATTTTCTTAACCAAGGACACCACCACTCAGGAACGGTCATCTCATGTACTGGAATAAGCTTCCACCCATCGAGGAAAATCCGTGGATTTGAACCCTTACGTCATCCAGTGCTGAAAGTCAGAGACGCTATCACTGAGCTATTTGGGCTCATCTGACTGACTGGTTTCAACATAGAACTTTGCACCGATGTGCAACAGTCCAAGTCGCCACACTCCTTCCATGTAACACACAAAGCAAGAGAAGAAAGTAAAAAGAATTGCAAAATAGCGACAGTAAGCAGAGATATGAGACAAAAGGAATAGTAATGTCGAAGAACAATATAGTTTCATTGGAAATTAAAAGTCACAAGGAGTAGATACATCTGCGCCAGCCATTGAGAGCGATTTTGAGCCATATCACCAATTGTTTCCAGCCTCCCTTGCTGTTTACCGTCCCGAGGACCCCAACCAGTCAAGAAGTCTACACCTTACTAAGTGATTGGCTGGCTTAAACTAACTGTTGTGGATTTCACTGACTGATGAAGCCATGTTCCTTTTGGTTTGACCACCAGTGGCACTTTTCCAACCTGACCTTATGTCAGTTAACATTGACCGACATGTTAAGTAGATAAATGCGAATATGCAGGTTTTAAATGTTTCAAATACTCGCTAGAGTAAACAGATATTATGAATTGTATTGCCAAAATTCTTTAACCGATAGGTCTTGGCACTGTGACGACCCCTACTTGATAGTAGTCTACACATCTCCACGTAGTCAAAGCCAATTGTCAAAGACGTCGTCTTGGTGTGAACACCGCTAATTTTCCCCAATATAATCCTATACCGGCTAATATAGCCCGTCGAGGAGGTGTTAGTGTCTAGGCATGCACAACCCGTATCTTGGACATCAGAATCGATGTAACTTCACAATCTCATCAAATGACCTGCCTTCCTTACGTAACAGTCTACAGCTAATCTCGATATTGCTCACCCTATTATACCATAAAACACAGGAGAAAGAACACAAACATCTGAGAATAAAGATAACTAGCATTCTCATACATCCCACTTTCAGTGTCTGTGCCTCACTGCCATAAAGAAGGACTTCGTTGACTGGTGAACAGTACGGTGTGTCCTTTGATTAATAGCCCGATATCATGTCTACACACTCTCCGACAGATTCTAGAACATAGGCGTTCTTACCGGCGTCTAACAATCATTATATTTCTTGACCTAAAGGCGGCAGTCGATTCTGTCGACCGAGAGGTACTCTGGCGATGCCTGGCTGTAAAAGGAATGCCGAGAAAATACATTGCTCTGATCAAGGCAATCACTCTACTCGAACTCATGCAGTCAACCAGGTGAGGGCTTACGGCGAGTTGTCATCTGAAGAGTGGTGACGACTAGTGGTGTCTGTCAGGAAGGATGCCCATTATCCCCATTTCTATTCAATTTCATCATAGATGTACTAATGGACTTAACCCTAACTCACTTCAGAGACTCAGGGATTGACTTGTTACCATCAAGGAATAATCTCGTTGACGAAGAATGTGCAGACAATATAGACATTCTAGGCGATGACGCTGACAAAATACAGCAGTCTTCTGAACACCTTGAGCTGCAATCTACGAATGTTTGACATGCGATTCGCTCGTGCCGTCAAATGTAAGATGATGTTACAGGACTGGACCACACTGACTCCTAGTTTAGAAATATGGAGTGAAGTGGCAGAACACGTTGACCGCTTCACTTACTCGGGAAGTTGCATCAGCCAGTCCCACTGGGTCGATCGCAGACGAAATCTCAGCACGGATACAGAGGGCTAGTTTCGCATATGCCAGTTTACGTCGTCTCTGGCGTCGACATCATACCTGGCTATTGACCAAAGGGCGTGTGTACTGCTCAACAGTCCGCTCCGTCCTCCTGGCTATTGAGAGTGGAAGACATGAAAGTGAAGGCTAGCCGCCTTTGATCATAGGTGCCTGCGTTCTATCTCCCGTATTAGGTGGTAGGCGTAATAGAGTGAGTAATATTGAGATTAGGCGTTGAGTGCTAGTCAAAGAAGGGAAATCAATCGACATGGCTGTGAAATTACATCGACTGAGATGGTTAGGATATGTGTTACGTATGCCTAGTCATCGCCTCCCTTGACGGGAAATGTTAGCTGATATAGGGTAAGGCTGGAATACAGCTAGCGGCGGTCAAACCAAAACATGGCACCAGTCAATGAAATCTACAACAGCTAGTTTAAGCCACGTAGAAAGGTGTGGCCTTCCTAACTGGTTGGGGTCCTCTGGACGGTAAAAGCCAATGGTTGGAAACAATTGGTTATATGGCTCAAAATCGTTCTCAGTGACAGGTGAAGATGCATCTATTCCTTGTGACTTATGATTTCTGGTGAAACTATATTGTTTTTCGTTATTACAATTCTTCTTTTGTCAAATCCCTGTCTACTGTCTCTATTCTGCATTTCTTTTTACATTCTTCTCTTGGTTTGTGTTCTACATGGAGGGAGTGTGGTGTCTTGAACTGCCGCACATCGGTGCAAAGTTCTATGTCGAAAACATACAGACAGATGTCTACGCTAGAGGGAATGTAAGTTGGCAAGTGTGATCTCATATTATCATGTTTAATTTGTTACCTTCTTGATTTGTTTAACTTAATGTTATTCATTATAGAGTCAGTCAATGAATAATTAATTACTATTATGTTGAATCATTGGAGAAGACCGGCAGACAACCCTGAACGTAGGTTTCATATCTATTGGCACTCGTCAGTAAGCCATATTTGTAATCCTTAAAGAATCGATGTTACCCCTCCTGAAGATTTAAATCATTATCCCCAGGTGCCATAGTAAGAAACTTGACCTTTAAACTATTCCGGCTTACGAATGACAGAATTCAGAAAAACTTTATAAAAAATGGAAATTCCTTTGAAAGTCTTAAATCTAAATCAATAAACATTAATATAGGCATAAAAATGTTTTATAGAGAGAAAATTCTGATCTATGTCACCAACATTAGCCATTGTTTCTCAGCATCTCAGTATCGTTGTTCCCATGGGTTCCGTGTGGAACATAAGTCTTCAACAACACATCTTCACTTTGTCCTATTACCTGTGATCCTCTTTAGTTGACCTATCTATTACCTACGGTCTCCGACCTCCTTCATGTCACCTACGCCAGTCGAACTAGTCGTTTTCCATTCAAGTTCTACTCAAGAGTCAACATGGCGAGTGATGTCATTCGACAGTCTCCTCAGAGTTTGTCCGATCAATCTCTATTTTCTTCAGCATACACCAAAAGTTATGTGGCTCAAACTGGCAGTCATAAACTTCATGGATTGATACTACGTTTTGCTTCAAACTCCTTCGCCCCTAACTCAACTCCAAGTCTACCTTATGTCAAGGAGACAGTTGGCTTGTTTAGCGTAAAACAGGTATGCTAGCCGTGTCAACCAATGACAGTAAACCCATTTGAAATCAATTCAATTAGATACACCCTAAAAAAACAGGAGATAGTAAATTAACAATTAAAATGGTGATAAAGTTTACTTTATTAGATATTGCGATTACATACATAGCCAGACAATTGTTAATTTTATTTTATTTTTTAATATTCCCATAGGGTAGTGAGAGGAGCATAGGGCTTCAACAACACATCTCCACATTGTTCTTTTTTCTGCCGTCCTCTTCAGCTGGCTAGCCATACGATTGTCCATAATCTCTCATCTCCTTCCCCAACTAACACGATCTCCTTTATGTCATCCTCGCATCAACCACCCACTCGTCACTTCCCATTCGGATTCCACTCGCGCAATGGCATACATTGTGTGCGATGACATTCGGCGGATTCTTCATCGTAAGTCCGATCCATGTCTATTTTTCCCTACATATTTGTTGAGCAGTCGGGTCTTGGTTGGTATGTTGCCAGACAGACAGAGTTTCTTCTTGCTAATTCTTTCTCGCTGACTGGCTGGCCATTTGATCTTCAGTATGGAGCCAGACGGCGAAGGTGGTGTTGGAAATGCTTTTCATGATGCGCACCTTAAGTTTCTGACCCGAATAGAAGAAGTGACTGACTAACTCAACATTTGTGTTGAACAGAATCCGAACGAATCTTGTTCTTTATGCTGGCTGAGTGCAGTGCAGAAGATTAACAAACTGCTTTCTGGTTGATGAAGGCGTATCTTATCTTTCCGATTCTCGCCAGCTTTGACATCTTCATCCATTCCAGCTGCCTGTAGTTGAAACGATGCTTACTGCCTAGATAAGTGGAGGAAGTAACCTCTGTCATATCTCTCCTTCTGATGGTGATTGATGCTGGTTGTTGTTACTATTGCTGTTGGTTGGTTGGCTGTCTTCAATAGCTCCATCTACTCTATGTTCACCTAGAGTCCCGTCTTCACTGCCTACCTTTTTAGCCAGTTTGTTGGTTTTCGCCTACCTCTAAGTCTTCGAGTTTGTGTAACATTAAACACAAATCATCCACACACGAAATCCAGATCTCCGACAGTCTTCTTATCGGTGGCCCAGCGTATTCCTGTCTTCTCACTCCCAATTCACAGTCTGACGCATAATCCAATCCACCACAATTAGGAATGTTATCGGTGATAAAAGGCAACCACTCTTGTCTTACTCCTGTCACCACTTCAAACGCCCTGCTGAGTTTTCTGTTGTGGATCAACTGACACATAGCACTGTCATGCAACTGTTGATATCACTTTAATTACAACATCAATGCATTACTGATGAAATAAGAAGTACGCAAGAGTTAACCTACGATATATGATAAATAGATATATAAATAAAGCGATAACAGGTTGTCGGTTTGTCACTCTACTACACAACAGCCTCTAAGATACCAATCATCTGAATAGGGAGTAGTATTGTGGTGAGAGCTGACTGCTAGCCAGAGCTGGTAGACAGTAATTGACGTCAATGTTTATGTCCCCAATATTGGTGGTGGGAAAATGAGAACAAAGGCTTTCCGTAGGCGGATACAGTTAGCATATGGATGATCTGACACAGCCACAAAGAGATGCAAGGTTAACTTTCTGTGAGAAACAACCAATCAAAAGACTGTATTTTCTACTAACAATAATCTACAACAATGTACATTAAAATCTATAAATATGTGTTGATTTTCCTTAATAAACGATCTGTTGCCTGACCCTTGTCTTCTGTTGTTACAGTATGACTACTAACTACTCAAGTTAATAAACACACTTACCTGATGATTCGGTCAATTGTTCACCTTTAACAGGATACTGACTTGATGATGATTGTGATAGATGCGGGGATGAAATTGAAGATGCACTTGTTACAACAGGTTGAATTGTTTCATTGTCAATTGATGAAGATTTAGTTAGACTGGAGATATGATTAAGTGTTGTCTGTTTAGTTGCACTACAAAGAGAGAGGAAGAAGACATAATAATATCATAGTTTCATAGATTATAAATATTTTAGGATATTCCCTGAGATGATGCATTAAGCAGCTGTAGAACAAAAGCAGTTTTTTATCAAGTGGTTCTGCATGCATATCTCGAAACGACTTCAATTACAAAAAGTGGCCACTAATAAATGCGCGTCGGTGACAGAGTGGTAGGATGCTCGCCAAACACGCCTCACGTGGTTCACGGTTCGATCCCCGGCTGTCAATGCACTCCCTTTCCTAAGACTAGTAAAGAGAGAAGGTTGGGCATGAGGCAGGCTATCAAACCCATCCTGTAAAAAAAATAATCACAATTGCTATCGAAACTTCAAGCTTCTAGCTTGAAGCCCCGTATGTTCCACTGGTAACGTAAAAGAATAAAAAAACACTGAAAAGTGATTAATCGTTATTATTATTATTAACTTTTTGCAAGTTTTGAGTATACAACAGGGTTTAAAAGGCACGTTTTCATAGCACTCAGTTCTATCATCATTTTATGCTGGTGTGACAACTAACAAGAAGCTTATATTTACGCTTCCAAGGTAAACACAAAGAAAACCACCTTACCTTTTATAAAAAGCATTTCAAAAATCACTGTAAGACTGGTCAAACCTTTAGGAATTGATGCAGCACACAAACCAACAAAATCACTTCACCTCTCAACTAACTGGCTCAACGTCAACCAAAAGACTCAACAACGAAAGAAGGTAGAACCAAAATCATCTACAAAATAAATTGTAACAACTGAGAAAAACACTACATTGGCCAAAGTGGATGACATCCCCTTCATCTTCGTATCCATGATCATAAACTAGCCTTCAAAAGACATGACATCCACTCTCTCGCTCATATCGCTGCATACAGACAACTACGGACATCAATTCGATTGGTAAGACATTTAAATATTAAGCAGCGGAAACACCAAGAATGTCAGAGAATTTTCGGAAGTCTGCTATTTCAGTGAATCGGTAATTAACAGGCACATTGACATGGATAAGATTTACCAATCCGAAAGTCAAACTTCAGGTGGGGATTTTCCCTAGTAGGGCAATGAAAGCTTCGCAAGCAGAACCATTCGGGAAGTTGTGACCAGTGAGTGGAGTACGGCAGGTTGGGTGTGAGGTCAAATTACTCGACCCGAATGACATTAGCTAGTGGTTGCGCTATGTCGTGAATTGAAAGAAGTAGGAATTCAAGGTTTGTCCATTGGATCGGGCCCCAGTGGCTACTTAATGGTCTACGAGGTGTTCGCCTTGTAACCAGAAGGTCCTGGGGGCGAACCCCTGTGGTAGGTGTTTACTGCTGAGGAGTCCCAAACCAGAAAGGAACAGCCGGCTGTCCCGTACTCCCAGGTGGTTTTCTAATGATCACCTAGACGATGTCAGCTCATCACGAAATCCTGTAACCAACTAATCAAATTTCATATTAGGTTGTTCATTAGATGTATCACACAGTGAAATAGTATTGGTATTTACTGGATGACGTTTCGAACACAATTCACTTATTGTTCATAATCATTTCATCAATTATATTCATACGACTTCGAAACTTGGGTCTGATAGTTTTCTTTGTTCTCTCCTATATATCTTCGTAGGGATAGTAGAGTTTTCCAGATATCTGGGTGGACAGGTGTTGAATCATTCCTATTACACGTATTCTCTCTCAGTTAATTCGATAAACAAAGCTTCCGTTATCAATCTCTCCTTCCACCCTGCTGTTACATCAGATTTTAAAACTGCCATCCTATCCCATACATCCTATTGTATGGCTATGTGTAATTGCATGTAGTGCTATCTACGGTTGAACTATTCTCCAGATTTCTTATCTTATTTGCGTCAATCCATCTAGATTTTGCTAAGTTTTTATGTTCAGCTAGTCTGACTGCCCCTGTTCTACTAGTTTGATCTATGTATTTGACCTGACAATCATTGCAGGCAGGGTATTAGATAAACTAAATTGTTTTGCTTTAAAGGCTCCACAAGATTGACACTTTAACCGACAAAGCTTGTTTCTAATTGGGTTTTTGGTTGGTTTGAATGCCAGCCACTTTTATTATTGCCTGCCTTGTTAAGAATTCTCCGGCATGAGGTGGTTTGCGAGGTTTCTTCTTTGTATGGAAGTGTAGGAGGAGATTGATAACGGATGCTTTGTTTATCGAATCGACTGCAAATACGTTTAATAGGAATGATGCAACATCTATCCACCCAGATATCTGGAAAACTGTACTACCACGTCTACGACGACAAACAGGAGAGAACAAAGAAAACTATAAAACTCAAGTTTCGAAGTCGTGTGATTATAATTGGCGATATGATTATGAACAATAAGTGAATTGTGTTCGAAACTGTGTCATCCAGTAAATAATAATACTGTTTCACTGACTGTGATATATCCATCTAATAAACAAACTAATATAGTATTACTTACTACCACAGTGTCCAAGTTTTACACAAATAATAATACAACCAATCAAATCAGCTATAGGCCAATACTTGAATAACAAACATGTTATTATAACAATTGAATCAAATTCATCCCCATTTAGCACTGGAAAACAAACTTACTTCTGACCTCTACTGGACAGCACAGATGATAATAAAAAACTTTGTGAACTGATCAGCTTGTAGAGATCACTTGTCTCACTTAAACCAGATGTTTGACTACTAATCAATGAATTGATCAAAGACGATGTTAATAAAGCTTTTAATTCCGCCTTTAACGTGTCAGATATACACGATTCAGAAGAAGACTGAGGTTTATTCTCTGATGAATTTGACACACTGGCAGGTTTTGTCGATTCAATAGACGATGGTGAAGTAATCGATGCTGGTGATGGTGATGTCGACGACAAGCGGGATGATGATGATACCGGTGAAGTTATTTGTGGTTGGGATAAAATATTGGCAGGTGTAGTATTCACGAAACTCTCCAATTGGACTGCTGATGATGATGAAGTGCACGGTGGTGGAGGCGGCGGCGTCAGCGGAGGAGGAGTAGGGAGATTTAATTGTCTGGGTGATTTCGATGGATCTTCGTATGCTTCATTGGATATGTGAAGATTATTACTTGGTTCATATGATTTCTTGGAGAAACCAGTGTCATCAACTGAATTGAAATAAAGAAGTTGAAAACAGTAAAATTATGAATTACAATTATGCGCTATGTCGTGAATTGGCAGAAGTTACAATTCATGGGCTATTGGATCGGGTCCCAGTGGCTACTTAATGGTCTACGAGGTGTTCACCTTGTAACCAGAAGGCCCTGGGTTCGAATCCCGGTGGGTGCGTGCTGATGAATAGTCCCGAACTAGGACGAAACAGCTGTCCAATACTCCCAGGTGGTTTTCCAATGGTTCTCTAATTGATGTCAGCTCATGATGAAATTCTGTAACCAATCAAATCCCTACAAACCAACACTTGAATTACAATTTAACCGGCTGATGCATATTTTGATTGTTTTTTTACTAATCCAATAAATTCGGAGTGGAATAGACAGATAAGGTGAATCGGCAAACGCCACACCAGCCTTCGGGCTCAGTGTAAAATGTGAGACAGTGATCTGCATTCTGCCCGAAAGTTTCTGCAACTGACTGTAAGGTTAAAATTACCCGGCTATGGTTATGCTTGGAACCCTTAGTGGATAGGCACCATGAATGGAAACCCACTATGTACACAGAGCTAGTAGCAACAAACAACTTACTGGCATCAACTCAGAGACCTATGATTTAGAAAGCAGGGGAATTTAATGAAACATATATGTAGCATTCCTGCATTCCATCAGCGCCAACGGGTTGATCTCCGACGAAATCTCAGCGCGAATACAGAGGGCTAGGTTCGCATTCGCCAGTTTACGCCATCTCTGACTTAATAGACGTGATATCCGACTATCGACCAAAGGGCGTGTACTGCTCAACAGTCCGCTCCGTCCTCCTTTATGGCTGTGAGACCTGGCCATTGAGAGCAGAAGACATGAAAAGATTAGCTGTCTTCGATCATAGGTGTCTGCGTTCTATCTCTCGCGTGAAGTGGTATAATAAGGTGAGCAATATTGAAGTTAGGCGTCGAGTGCTAGGTAAGGCGGGGAAATCAATCGACAAAACTGTGAAATTACATCGACTGAGATGGTTAGGACATGTGTTACACATGCATGCCTAGTCATTGCCTTCCTCGACAATGGGCAGTGTTAGTTGATATAGGGCCAGGTTGGAAAAGAGCTAGCGGTGGTCAAACCAAAACATGGCATCAGTCAATGAAATCCACAACAGTTAGTCTAAGCCACGTAGGGAGGTGTAGACTTCCTGGTTGGGGTCCTCGGGACGGTAAAAACCAATGTTTGGAAACAATTGGTGATATGGCTTAAAATCGTTCTCAATGGCTGGTGAAGATGCATCTACTCCTTGTGACTTATGATTTCCAATGAAAATGTTTTGTTCTTCGCTATTACTATTCCTTTGTCTCACACCTCTGTTTACTGTCTCTGATATGCATTTCTTCTACTTTCTTCTCTTCCTTTGTGTGCTACATAGTGGGAGTGTGGCGACTTGAACTGCCGCACATATATGAAATGTTCTATGTCGAAAACCGACCGACCGAAAATGACTTTACAATGTTCTGACATGTCCTACGAGTCAAACACCATTGAAATCACCAAAAGCAGTCATCCGCGTACTTTCTGCACCTGGTCTGTTCTCCTTGTTGTGGTCGACGGAAATCTGAAAATAAATTGACAAAATTGAGAAATACCAAAGGGGAACGTCGTCGTTTTCTTACTCTCTTTTCTTTTCAGTCTGTCACGACTGTTGTGGAACCAACGTTGAGTGGAAAGCATGACGGCTTCCACTGTGCTACGTCGTTTATCAGCAGTGCCTTGTTGGTGGAAACTGTTAATGGTTCCTGAAAACTACAATGAGAGCAAAATTCACTTGCCGATTTCAAGGTTACACTTTACTACAGCGAATCGTTCACTGACAAAAGTCGACTGGAATTCCCATTGGCAATTGAAGAAGAGTTCAATCAACTGGAGGCGTCAATTAAAACTCCGAAATCTAGGGATTCCTTCAAGGCATGACCTTTGAAGTTTAAGTAGCAGTGTTATCGCTTTTATATGATGAGGTCGATAACCTCTAGCCTAACGTTCCCGGATTTACAACGGGCTAGGTGAGGTTTAAGAGTATGTCAGCTAGGAGTTGAAAACAGACCGCATGGGTGGTTGAACAGAATCCTACAACTGAACCACAGATCCACTAAGAGTGAGTCGTCAGCCAGCAATCGATCCCGGATATCCCACGTGGTTGATTACTTAATTGTTTAACGTAAGAGAAGAATTCAAGCTCTGTGTAACAGAATAAAACTCCATATTAGATTATCATAATTATTATTGTTCCCTTGGGTTCCTAGTGGAACATAGGGCTTCAACTACACGTCTCCACTTGCTTCTCTCTTCTGCTGTACTTTTCATTTGCATCCATGTTAGTCCATACTGTTTCAACTATTCTTCACACGATCTCCCCCATGTCACCCTTCGACGTCCCACTACTCGCCGCTTCCCTCAGCTCAGCCAGTGTCCAATCCATCTCCACTTTCTCCTGCATATTTGTTGAACGATTGGTTCTTGTTTCGTTTGTTCCCATAGTTTCTTGTTGGTCTTTCTTTCTTTCCGGCCATCTGATCTTCAGTGTAGAGCGAAGATAGTTGTTGTCGATAAAGGTGTGCAACAGGCTGCTTTTAATATTCTTTGTGACCCGCCAAGTTTCTGATCCGTATAGAAGAACTGACCGACTTGACGTCGTTTGTATTGAAAATCCGAATCACTTTGTTGTTGACGCAGGCTGAGTTGAGTGACGAAGATTTCCAGATTGGTTTCAGGTTGATGAATGTGTTTCTCGCCTTCCCGATTCTCGATTTGACATCCTCGTCCGTTTCTCCTGTAGTTGAGACAATGCTCCCCAGATAAGTGAATGAAGTAACCTCTTTGAAATCCCTCCCGTTGATGGTGATTGGCGGTGGATGTTGCTGCTGCTGTTGTTGTTGTTGTTGGTTGGTTGATTATTTTCATAATCTCCGTCTTGTCTATGTTCACCTGGAGTCCTGTCTTTGCTGCTTCTTCGACCACTTTGTCGGTTTTCGCTTGTAAGTCTTCGATTTTGTGTGACATCAAACATAAATCATCCACGCGCGAAATCCAGGTCTTCTAGGTTCTTCACGTCGGTCCAGGATATCCCTGTCTTCTCGTATCCCACTGTCTGACGCGTAATCCAGTCCACCACAATTAGGAATATCATTGGTGATAATAAGCACCCTTGTCTGACTCCTGTGTTTACTCCAAACGCCTCGCTGAGTTTTCCGTTGTGGACCAATTGACATGTGCCGTTGTCGTACAGCTGTTGAATAAGGTTGATGAATATTTGGGGTACGGCGTATTACTTGTTAAATAGGGAAGATATAGGTATTAATGACTGAATGATTTTTCAACCACAACTGTGTATTACTCATAATAATACCAGATTGCGTGTCATTTTGATCCAACCTGTTGGATATTTGTTCGATGAAGGAAGATTCGGTGATTCACCTCTCCCTCTCTCTGTCTCTCCGCCTAAATATATTACTTTTTAATACTTCCACCCTATTCCACACCATTCTGTGACTATATAAAAATGTCTGTCTGTCTGTTTTCGACATAGAACTTTGCACCGATGTGCGGCACTTTGAGTCGCCACACTCCCTCCAATTAGCACACAGAGCAAGAGAAGAAAGTAGAAGAAATGCAAAATAGAGACAGAAAACAGAGATATGAAGCAAAAAGAATAGTTATATGGAAGAACAATACGGTTTTATTGGGTTTTATAAGTCACAAGGAGTGGATGCACCTGCGCTAGCCACTAAGAACGATTTTGAGACATTTCACCGATTGTCTCCAGCCACTGGTTCTTATAATCTCGAGGACCCCAACCAGGAAATCTACACCATCCTATGTGGCTCGCTGGATAAAACTAACTGTTGTGGATTTCATTGAATGGTGAAGCCATGTTTTAGTTTGACCACCACTGGTTCCTTTCCAACCTCATCTATCCTATGTCAGCTAACACTGCCCACTGTCGACAAAGGCGACGCCTAGGCATGCGGAACACATGTTCTAACCATCTCTCTCAGTTGATGTAACTTCGCAGCCTCGTCGATTGATTTCCTCTCCTTACTTAGCACTCGACCGATGCCTAAACTCAATATTGCTCACCTTATTACACCTACCACTTCACACGGGAAACAGAACGCAGGCACCTATGATCGAAGACAGCTAGCTGGCCTTTTTACGTCTTCCACCCTCGATGACCATGTCTCGCTCACAGCCATCACGGAGGACGGAGCGGACTGCTGGGCAGTACATCGACCCTTTGGTCGACAGCCAGCCGGATGTCACGTCCACTAAGCCAGAGATGGCGAAAACCGGCATATGCGAAACTAGCTTTCTGTGTCCATGCTGAGATTTCGTCTGCGATCAACCCAGTGGGACTGGCTGATGCAACTTCTCAAATAAGTGAAGTGGTCAACGTGCTCTACCGCCTCACCACCTATTTCTAAGCTGCATGTCCTGTATGTTGTAAGTCAACAAGATTATTCCCTGACGGTCAGAAGTCTATCCCTGAGTCTCTGAAGTCACTTAGGGAAACAGGTGGTAAAAAACAAATGATAAGCGAAACAATCTCCGAGAAAAATGGCACCATAATTAGCTCCCAGGATAGACGTCTGGAGCGCTGGAAAGAACACTATGAGGAGCAGTTTAATTGGCCCACAGCCACACTTAACCTACCGGACATCCAACACCTCCCTGAATGGGAGATAGACACAGGTCCTCCGTCCTTAACCGAGGTTACTAAAGCTGTCACCAGTCTGAAGTTAGGCAAAGCAGCGGGACCTGATGGATTGACTCCAGAGGTATTTAAGTACGGAGGCAACAGTTTACTGTCTGCGTTAACGGAGGTTCTAGGCAGCGTCTGGAAATCAGAGGAAGTCCCATCGGGTTGGTGTAAGTCACTGATCATCCCGATATACAAGAAGGGGGACAAGTCGTCTTGTGATAATCACAGAGGGATTAGCTTGACTAATATAGTATCTAAAATCCTAGGCTCAATAATACTGCGTAGATTAAGTGGTGCTCGGGAGACACAAACACGAGAAAACCAGGCAGGTTTTAGGCCAGGTAGAGGGTGTATTGATCACATCTTCACCTTTCGACAGATTCTAGAACATAGGCATTCCTACCGGCGTCCGACAATCATTATATTTCTTGACCTAAAGGCGGCATTCGATTCTGTCGACCGGGAGGTTCTCTGGCGATGCTTGGCTGTAAAGGGAATGCCAAGAAAATACATTGCACTGATTAAGGCACTCTACTCGTACTCATGCAGCCAGGTGAGGGCTTATGGCGAGTTGTCATCTGAAGTGGTGACGACTAGTGGCGTCCGTCAAGGATGCCCATTATCCCCATTCCTATTCAACTTCATCATAGATGTACTAATGGACTTAACCCTAACTCACTTCAGCGACTCAGGGATTGACTTGCTACCAGGGAAGAATCTCGTTGACTTAGAATATGCGGACGATATAGTCCTTCTAGGCGAGGACTCTGACAAAATGCAGAGTCTACTGAACACCCTGAGCAACAATCTCCGCATGTTTGGCATGCGATTCGCCCCTATAAAATGTAAGATGATGCTGCAGGATTGGACTTCATCGACCCCTAGATTAGAAATAGGAAGTGAAGTGGTAGAACACGTTGACCGCTTCACTTACTTGGGAAGTACCATCAGCCCCAACGGGTTGATCTCTGACGAAATCTCAGCACGAATACAGAGGGCTAGGTTCGCATTCGCCAGTTTTCGCCGTCTCTGGCGTAGACGCGATATCCGACTATCGACCAAAGGGCGTGTGTACTGCTCAACAGTCCGCTCCGTCCTCCTTTATGGCTGTGAGACCTGGCCATTGAGAGCAGAAGACATGAAAAGATTATCTGTCTTCGATCATAGGTGTCTGCGTTCTATCTCCCGCGTGAAGTGGTATAATAAGGTGAGCAATATTGAGGTTAGGCATCGGTCGAGTGCTAGGTAAGGAGGGGAAATCAATCGACGAGACTGTGAAATTACTTCGACTGAGATGGTTAGGACACGTGCTACGTATGCCTAGTCATCGCCTTCCTCGACTGACGGGCGATGTTAGCTGATGTAGGGTCAGGCTGGAAAAGAGCTAGCGGTGGTCAAACCAAAACATGGCACCAGTCAATGAAATCCACAACAGTTAGTCTAAGCCACGTAGGAAGATGTAGACTTCCTGGTTGGGGCCCTCGGGATGGTAAAAACCAATGGTTGGAAGCAATTGGTGACATGGCTAGCTCAAAATCGTTCTCAGTCATGGCGCAGATGCATCGACTCCTTGTGACTTATGATTTCCAATTAAACTTTTGTTCTTCGTTATTACTATTCCTTTGTCTCACACCTCTGTTTACTGTCTATATTATGCATTTCTTCTACTTTCTTCTCTTGCTTTGCGTGCTACATAGATTGTGGCGACTTGAACTGCCGCACATATGTGCAAAGTTCTATGTCGAAAACCGACCGACCGACCGACTTAGGGTTAAGTCCATTAGTACATCTATAATGAAATTGAATAGAAATGGGGATAGTGGGCATCCTTCCTGACGGACACCACTAGTTGTCACCAGTTCAGATGACAACTCACCGTAAGCTCTCACTTGGCTGACTGCATGAGTTCGAGTAGAGTGTAATTTCTCGGCATTCCCTTTACAGCCAAGCATCGCCAGAATACCTCTCGGTTGACAGAATCGACTGCCGCCTTTAGGTCAAGAAATATAACGATCATTGCCTACATTCCGTTCCAGAATCTGTCGAAGGGTGAAGATATGATCAATACATCCTCTTCCTGATCTAAAGCCTGTCTGGTTCTCTCGTGCTTGTTCCTCCCGTAGACCGCTAAGTCTACGCATTATTATTGAGCCTAAGACTTAAGATCCCATAAAAATGCTTTGCAATGCCCCAGATTTTCTATAGATTACTTCGGAGGGTCAATTGTACAAGGTCTACTTACACTTCTCTGTTCCAATAACCGAAATGACTAACGCCAATCTACTAGTTTGACTGATCTATTGTAATTCACCTCACTAACAGTCAGCATTACATGGTATTTGGTAAATTATATATTATATATTTTTCTTCATTGGATCTATTGAATCCTTAATTTTCAAGTATTGGTTTTTTATGGATTATGTTTGATTGGTTGGAGGGTTTCATCATGAGCTGACATCAGTTAGAGAACCATTGAAAAACCAGCTGGGAGTACTGGATAGTTGTTTCGTCAGCCTAGTTTGGGGCTCTTCATCAGTACGCACGCATCAACTGGAGTCAAAACCCAGGACCTTCGGGTTACAAGGCTGGCGAGCTCGTAGACCATTAAGCCACTGGGAACCGATCCAATAGCCAGCCCATGAATTCCAACTTTATTGGAGAAATTTTATCGCTAAATGAGTTTGTCAGCTCAAATGCCACTACTACTATTGGACGCAATGAGTAGTGATTGCGGGTAAAATGAAATATTTAATTTGCAGTACGTATCAGAGTTCATCAGTTCAAATTCTACCGCCACACAATTTCTCATTTTGTAAACACAAAGGAAAGAAACAAAAATCAATTTCCAGCTTACCTGACTGCAAATCATCCATACAAGGGGAAGCTTCAAGGCTGATGAGAGGATTTAATGTTTTATCTTCTAAATGAGTAACAACATCATCGGCAATAATCATCTCATTATTATTAGAATGATATAACTCGTCTTGATCACTTTCACTGCAATGAGGTTTTTCATATTTATTTGATGAAGTAACAATTGGAGTTGATTGTGTCACCGTAGACGATTCATAAGCACTTTTATTTTTTTGTAAAGAAGGCTAAAAGAGAAAGGAAAAAAAGAATATGATGAAGAGTGATAGTTTTATACTTATTATCATTATTACTACTACTGCCTTGCGTTCCGAGTGGAACATAGGGCTTCAACAACACATCTCCACTCTCTCCTATTCTCTGCTCTCTTCTTGAACCAGGTCCACGACTACCCATAATCTCTCATCTCTACCTCCAACTAACATGATCTCCTCCATATCACCGTCGCACCATACACCCACTCATCGCTTCCCATTGGGATTCCACTTGGGCGATGGCTTGCACTGAGCGCGATGCGGTTCGACGGCCTCTTCAACGTATGCCCGATCAATCCATCTCCATTTTCTCCCACATAATTATTGGTTTGTTCCCAGTCACAGTTTCTTGTTGCTAATTATTTCTGGCCGGCTGGCTGGCTATTCGATCTTCACCATGGAGCCGGCCAGCGAAGGTGGCAAGTGTGGCTAAAAGTTTGTAACTTGTTGGAAATGCTTTACGTGATCGGCAGTACAAGTTCCTGAACCGTATAAAAGAACTGACTGACTTACCATAGGTGTCGAAAATACGAATCTCGTTCTTTATGCTGACTGAGTGTAGAAGGTTTCTAAACTGGCTTCAGGTTGATGAAAGCGTATCTTGCCTTTCCGATTCTCGCCAGCTTTGACATTTTCATCCGTTCCGACCGCATGTGGCTGAAATGATGCTTACTGCCTTGACAAGTGGAGGGAGTAACCTCTGTCAAATCTCTCACATTGGTGGTGATTGGTGCTGGTTGTCTTCGTTAGCTCTGTCTTCTCTATGTTCACGTGAAGTCCTGTCTTCCCTGACTGCTTCTTCAGATAGTTTGTTGGTTGTCGCCTGTAAGTCTTTGAGTTTCTTTGACAATAAGCATAAATCATCTACACACGATATCCAGATCTTCTAGAGTCTTGTTATCGGTTGCCCAGCGTATTCCTGTCTTCTCACTCCCAATGCACACTGTGATGCATAATTTAGTCCACCACAATTAAGACTATCATCGGTGATAATAGAGAGGCGACCTTTCCTTACTCCTGTGTTTACTTCGAACGCCCCGCTGAGTTTTCCGTTGCGTATCACCTGACACGTGGCATTGTCATATAGCCAGCTGTTGAATAAGGTCGATAAAGATTTGGGCATTGCACTCAGTAATGTTGAAGTAGTTCCCAAATTACTTCTCGGTCAACGCTGTTTGTTGAAGGCCTTTTCGAAGTCGATGATGCTAAGGTACAGGTTTGACTGTCAGTCTATGCTTTGTTCTGTGATGACGATGCGTAGAGTTGCAATTTATTCAGCACATGATCTACTTACAACTCACGATCTACTACTCATGATCTACTCTAATTACTCACCATTTTTTCTTATCATGAATGGTTGCACCAAAAATCACTGATGGATATGGAAGCCGTTAACAAGATGTATGAGAAAGTGTATTCACCAAGTTACTCATCGAAAAATCATCTGTACAGGGTCAAAACAACACTTTATAATTTCACATTACTTCCACAAATAGATCCATTCGTCACTTATTTCAAATCAGAGACATATCTAATTAACGTCTCAAGATACTAAGTCACACAACATCTCCCAAAAACTATCTACGGAGTAAATAAGCACCGATATACACTAAGTCAACACAACTATTTTTCATTTCGTGGAATCACATCGTGAAATCACTACCGTAACTACTCCAATAATGCCAAGACTAAAAATAGTGGACATTCGTAATACATGTAAAAGCGCTAATGAAAGAAGCATTCGAAGATGATATCAATTACTGAAACACCTCCCTAAGTGGCTGGCAGGCTCCAACTAACTGTTGTGGATTTCATTGACTGAGGAAGCCATCTTTTCGTTTGACCGCCGCTTACTCTTTTCTAACCTGACCCTGTGTCATCTAACATTGACCGTCGGTAGCGGAAGGCGATGGCTAGGATGCAAGAGTAACACATGTCATAACCATCTCACTCAATCGGTGTAACTTCACAGTCTCGTCTATTGATTTCCCCTCTTTACCTAGCATTCGACCGATGCCTAACCTCAATATTGCTCACCCTATTATACCAGTTCACACAGGAGATAAAACGCAAGCACCAATTATCAAAAACAGCTAGCCGGCCAGACTTTTCACGTTCTCCACTTTCAATGGCGATGTCTCATTCACAAACACAAAGAAAGACAGAACCAACTTCTGTGCATTACACACGCCGGACATCACGTCTACTAAGTCAGAGATGAAATAAGTTGTCAAATATCAAACAACCCTACTGTGTTCATGCTTAGATTTCGTCTGCGATCAACCCAGTGGGACTGGCTGATGCAACTTCTCAAATAAGTGAAGTGGTCAACACGTCCCGCCAACCACTTCACTCCCTATTTCTAAGCTAGGAGTGAGTCAATGTAGTCCAGTCCTGTACCATCATCTGACATTTGACAGAGGGAACGAATCGCATGCCAAACATTCGAAGATTGCAGCTCAAGGTGTTCATAAAACTCTGCTGTATTTTGTTCTGCATATTCTAAGTCAACAAGATTATTCCCTGAGTCTCTGAAGTCAGCCAGTTAGGGTTAAGTCCATTAGTACATCTATGATGAAATTGAATAAAAAATGGGAATAGTGTTCATCCCTATCGAATCTCACTAGTTGTCACCAGTTCAGATGACAACTCGCTGTAAGTTCTCACCTAGCTGACTGCATGAATTCGAGTAGAGTGAGTGCCTTGATCAGTGTACTTCGATGTCAGTTCGTTAGCTTACCTGAAATCAACAAAATCCCCCCCCCCGCAAAAAAACCATCAGTTTATCTTACCTTCATTAAACATTCATCACCATGGATTTGTTGTCCGTCAGATAAAGATTCCAATGAGGTAGTCATTGAAGCAACACCGACCGCCTGTTTTGAAACCTTCACAGAAGATGATGATGACGATGATGATGACGACAGTGGTGCTGGTGAAGCTGACGAAGAATACTTTGAGTCTTTCTTGTCATCACCAACTTGATCATATGAATATAAAGATGATTGTTCTGGTAACGATGTGATTATAGCCTTACGTTTTAATATTTCAGCTTTTTGTGCATTAACAAGACAACGAGCACGTTCAGCTAGAATACCGGTGATAGGCTGTGAAATATGATACTTCACTAGAGTTGATGAAACCGTCTTTCCAGTGTTTATATCTAACGCGTCTTGACCAGTTTGCATAGAATCAAAAGATGATGCCTATTGAATGTTGAACAACAAAAGAAAAACAAAATGAAAATACAATTAGTTTACATGCAGGTAAACTTGACTGATAGAATTAAAATCGTGGAAAATACCCATCGGAACACTGGTTTGCCTAAAAAGGACTATGCCACAATTCGTAGAATGCTGAAGACTGTCAGTAGGATGAGTGGTGTCCCAGTGGACTACATAGTTAACGTCGTTGTCGATAGGCACTTGAATTCGTGCAGTAAATTTGCTAAAGGGACTTTGTCTGACTTGGAGCATCCACTTCACCCCCAGCTTTCACCTTGCATCTCCTCAGGTAGAACAAGAAGTAACTTCAGAAAACTGTATGCTCGCACGTCTGAGTATAAAAATTCTATGATACCATACTTGGCACGTATTCCATGTGATGAAAATAGCGTCAGGTAAGAATTGACTAACCTTTTTTCATCTAGTAAATAAACAATCTCCTCCATCCATCTTTATATACCTTCAAGTTTTACTTTTATTATTTCTATTATATTTATGGTCCTGTTGATTCTTTGTTTTCACTTTCATAACTGCAAACACCAACTTATCTCTATGACTGCTGTAATCTTTCTTTTTTCCCTCACCATATCATGTAAAGAGAATATTATATTCAATATTTTTAAACATGCTAGGATTTGTATACCGCATCGACAATACTGTGTGAAACAAACCCACGGCAATTTCCACTTGTATTATTATCATTAGCTTAGCTGCTATCATTATTATTATTTCCATTTTATATGCTGGATGTTTTTTTTGACATTACCCCTATTGTAAATGTTGAAAATTTTCTGTGTGACTAATTTCTATTTATAATTTGAGGAAATTAGATGGAATATTGTGATTAATGCTGAAAATTCCATTCTGTATCACAAGTACTGTTTTTGGAATAAAGTAAATTATTATTATTATTATTATTATTATTATTATTAAAGGGAAAAGAACAAGAAGTTCAGCAGCAAACTGATATCTGTCTTTTCGGTGATTTCATTCTCAAAAGCAACTGTACAATCGCATTTATATACATTAGTTTACATGGATACAACTATTATTTGCTTAATTCCACATAGTAACGAAGGTGATAATAATTGTCAACTTGATATAAAAGTTTGTAGGTACGAACATAAATTACATGGGGGCTAGAAACAAAAAATTACACGGGGATAAAACGAATTACAGGTGGGAACAAAATGAGCATGGAAACAAATTGAAATCAAAATTTTCAACTTGAAATGTAAGTTAGGAGGTGTGAATATAGATTACAAGAGGCATAGAAACAAAACACTACACCGGCTTAGAATATAATTGTAAAAATGGTTATTCTAAACAGATTACAAGTGTGATCAGGAGGAGCATGGAAACAAACTTAAAATAACTGACTGTGTTTCCGACTGCTTTGTACTGCGGAAGCTCTCGCCACATGTATCGAAAAGCTGGAGCTATGTGTTCAAAAGAAACTAGTCCATCCTTTACAACTACCATAGACCTAGTTCGGTATGTTCCCTTATCCTTCAGCTTTTTTGTTTTGTTTTGTTCTCTGTGTGTGTAATTTTCTCTATTTGTCTTCATTCAATTCATCCTATTTTTTTCAGTTATAAAAAAATCAGTTTTTCTAAGTTTGTTTCCATGCTCCTTCTGATCACACTTGTTATCCGTTTAGAATAACCACTTTACAATTATATTCTAATCCTGTGTAATTTTTTGTTTGTATGTCTCTTGTAATCTGTATTCACACCTCCTAACCTTCATTTCAAGTTGAAAATTTTGATTTCAATTTGTTTCCATGCTCATTTTGTTCCCACCTGTAATTCGTTTTATCCCTGTGTAATTTTTGTTACTAAGCCCCATGTAATCTATATTCATAGCATCAAACTTTCATATCAAGTTGAAAATTATTATCACCTTCGTTACTATGTGGAATTAAGCAAATAATAGTTGTATCCATGTAAACTAATGTATATAAATGCGATTGTACAGTTGCTTTTGAGAATGAAATCGGTCGGTTTTCGACATAGAACTTTGCACATATGTGCGGCAGTTCAAGTCGCCACACTCCATGTAGCACACAAAGCAAGAGAAGAAAGTAGAAGAAATGCATAATATAGACAGTAAACAGAGGTGTGAGACAAAGGAATAGTAATAACGGAGAACAAAAGTTTAATTGGAAATCATAAGTCACAAGGAGTGGATGCATCTGCGACATTGAGAACGATTTTGAACCATGTCACCAATTGTTTCCAACTATTGGTTTTTACCATCCCGAGGGCCCCAACCAGGAAGTCTACATCTTCCTACGTGGCTTAGACTAACTGTTGTAGATTTCATTGACTGGTGCCATGTTTTGGTTTGACCGCCACTAGCTCTTTTCCAGCCTGACCCTATATCAGCTAACATTGCCCGTCAGTCGAGGAAGGCGATGACTAGGCATACGTAGCACATGTCCTAACCATCTCAGTCGATGCAATTTCACAGTCTCGTCGATTGATTTCCCCGCCTTACCTAGCACTCGACGCCTAACCTCAATATTGCTCACCTTATTATACCATTTCACGCGGGAGATAGAACGCAGACACCTATGATCGAAGACAGCTAATCTTTTCATGTCTTCTGCTCTCAATGGCCAGGTCTCACAGCCATAAAGGAGGACGGAGAGGACTGTTGAGCAGTACACACGCCCTTTGGTCGATAGTCGGATATCGCGTCTACGCCAGAGACGGCGAAAACTGGCGAATGCGAACCTAGCCCTCTGTATTCGTGCTGAAATTTCGTCGGAGATCAACCCGTTGGGGCTGATGGTACTTCCCAAGTAAGTGAAGCGGTCAACGTGTTCTACCACTTCACTTCCTATTTCTAATCTAGGGGTCGATGAAGTCCAATCCTGCAGCATCATCTTACATTTTATAGGGGCGAATCGCATGCCAAACATGCGGAGATTGTTGCTCAGGGTGTTCAGTAGACTCTGCATTTTGTCAGAGTCCTCGCCTAGAAGGACTATATCGTCCGCATATTCTAAGTCAACGAGATTCTTCCCTGGTAGCAAGTCAATCCCTGAGTCGCTGAAGTGAGTTAGGGTTAAGTCCATTAGTACATCTATGATGAAATTGAATAGGAATGGGGATAATGGGCATCCTTGACGGACGCCACTAGTCGTCACCACTTCAGATGACAACTCGCCATAAGCCCTCACCTGGCTGCATGAGTACGAGTGGAGTGCCTTAATCAGTGCAATGTATTTTCTTGGCATTCCCTTTACAGCCAGGCATCGCCAGAGAACCTCCCGGTCGACAGAATTGAATGCCGCCTTTAGGTCAAGAAATATAATGATTGTCGGACGCCGGTAGGAATGCCTATGTTCTAGAATCTGTCGAAGGGTGAAGATGTGATCAATACACCCTCTACCTGGCCTAAAACCTGCCTGGTTTTCTCGTGTTTGTGTCTCCCGAGCACCACTTAATCTACGCAGTATTATTGAGCCTAGGATTTTAGATACTATATTAGTCAAGCTAATCCCTCTGTGATTATCACAAGACGACTTGTCCCCCTTCTTGTATATCGGGATGATCAGTGACTTACACCAACCCGATGGGACTTCCTCTGATTCCCAGACGCTGCCTAGAACCTCCGTTAACGCAGACAGTAAACTGTCGCCTCCGTACTTAAATACCTCTGGAGTCAATAAATCAGGTCCCGCTGCTTTGCCTAGCTTCAGATTGGTGACAGCTTTAGTAACCTCGGTTAAGGACGGAGGACCTGTGTCTATCTCCCATTCAGGGAGGTGTTGGATGTCCGGTAGGTTAAGTGTGGCTGTGGGCCAATTAAACTGCTCCTCATAGTGTTCTTTCCAGCGCTCCAGACGTCTATCCTGGGAGCTAATTATGGTGCCATTTTTCTCGGAGATTGTTTCGCTTATCATTTGTTTTTTACCACCTGTTTCCCTGATAAGCCTGAATAGTTGTCTGGTGTTGCCTATCGCCGATGCTTTTTCCATCTCTTTCGCCTTTGTCAACCACCACTGTTCACGGTCCTTGCGGAGACTTTTCGTAAGTTTCCTCTTGTGCAGCTTTCGCTCCTCATTGAATTCGGAGCTCGCCGGAATAAGTCTTCTAGCATCTATCAGTTCGGATGAGGCAGTCGAAATCCAGTGGTTTTTACTCACCTTTGGAATTACCTTATTCACAGCTTTTACAGCTGTATCTATGGCTGACTGAATATTCTTCCAGGCTTCTTCAGGGTGAGCGCAGCTGTCAAACTCAGATATGTGTTTAGCTAGGTCTTCCTCAAATAGGGACTTAGTTCCCCGGTCGAGCTGGGGACGTGATGGGTTTACCGCTCGCTGTTTCCTACGTCCGTTCAGTCGTAAGCACACACGAGCGCGGACCAGTGCGTGATCGGTATCTACACACGTGTTCCAGAAGGAGCGACAATCTCCTACCGACCCACGCCAACGATAGCTTATTGCTATGTGGTCTATTTGTGTCCAGCGTTGATTTGATGATGGGGGTCGCCAGGTCAAACAGTGTCTCTCCTTGTGTTTGAAGTTAGTGCTTACAAGATACAAATGATTATCTGAACAGAACTGTAGGAGACGGTCACCGTTGTCGGTTCGCTGGCACGGAATTCCGCATGTGCCACCAACATTCTTCTCAGATTGACACAATTTCCCTACTTGAGCATTAAAGTCACCAGCTAAAACGACTATATCTGAGCGTCTAGCCTTTCGCAGCAAACTAGACAGCTTTTGGTAGAACTCATCCTTCGTTTCATCCGAACTGCAGTCAGTGGGGGCGTAGGCGGAGATTACGAAAAGGCATCGGCGAGTAGTGCAGTCCTTTCTCCTTTTCACTGATCCGTTCAGGCGGACAGCGCACATTCGGCTATCTACCGGGATCCAGTCAAGTAATGTCTTTTCTGCTCTAGTACTTAAAGCTATCCCAACACCAGCTAATCCTCGTGAGCTAGCCGTCGCATCTCCTGACAACCTC